AAAATATGAACTTCATTCGATGGGATGACAAAACAATGAACACCTAGATATTTGCCTATTTCAGATATGGAAGTCGTTGGTCCGTCATGGCGAAATACTGCTGGTCTCTCAGTTCAATATACTTGGGCCTTGGGCTACATGGTGTTGGCGGCAGTGGCCTATTTCATCAGGAACTGGTCGACGTTACAGCTAGTTTTATGTATTCCTATAGCAATACAGTGCATTCTTGTTTTGTAAGTATTATGAGCAATTATCATAGGGCAAACAAAACATCTCCATGATAAGAAATCACAGAGACCCCAAGGGGGGTCTATTGATGGCCTCCTCTTCAAAATATGCAATTGTCGAGTTTTGCCAAAGCCACTCTACTCTGATTTTGATGTAAAGACTTCATATAATTTGCAGTTTTATCCCAGAATCTCCTCGATGGTTGTACGCAACACACAAGTCCAAGAGTGCACAAGCAGTTGTCAAAGCGTTCGCTAAATCGAATAAAAGGGAACTTCCAGAGAAACTATTAGATGATATTACCATATCAGAGGTAATAAGAAAACTCCAAAAAGCTACAACATTTCACGTTTTGTAACATTTTCTAAATGAGCCAATCAGTTATTCACTGTTATTGCTAGAACAATGCTTTGATGCACGCTACAAACTACCTGTTAACTCACATTCTATATCTTTATTAAAAGAGAGAGCTCAAAATTCCCTTTCATACATTTTAGGAGAAAAATGAGAAACGCAATGGTAGTAGTAATATATTTAGTCTATTCCGGGGACCTCGTCTGAGAAAAAGAACACTCGCTATGTGCTACGCCTGGTAAGTCCCATAACTATTAATTTAAGTTCACAATTCTACATGCCAACTTTTTAAGGGATTAATAATCTAGATATAGTTACTAAATGAATGCATTGTTTCGTTATATTTTGTGATGTTTCTCCTGAATCCATTTTAGGTTTGTCTGTTCGTTTGTTTACTACGGATTGTCTTTGTCATCGTCATCACTGGGCGGTGACCCATTCATCAACTTCCTCATCTCTGGAGGAATTGAAATACCTGCATATTTATTCACCCATATTTGCTTCTGGAAAGTTGGGCGCAGATATCCACTTAGTTTTGTGTTTTTCTTTGGTGGAGTAGCACTGTTCTGTTTACTGGCCATACCAAGGCGTAAGTAAAAGTAGAAATTACAGTTTTCTAAATCCTTTTGTTTATTTGTTTTAAGTCTTCATTTACTCGCTCTGATAAAAAGTATTAATATTGGTTAATGAAACACAGAATGAAATCCTGTGCCGAAGACTTATGTGAGAAAGTCGGTCCACTACGTTATAATATTCACCTCATGACAAATTTCCCTATCGTAATATATATTGCAGATATGACAACGGTGACAATAGTTGTATCGATGTCCGCAAAGTTCCTAATATCTGCTGGGTTTGGTATGGTGTACAACTATGGTGCCGAGGTGTTTCCAACTCAAATTCGTAATTTAGGAGTGGGCACTTCATCAACTTGCTCGAGAATCGGTGGAATTATAGCTCCTTATGTATCGCTTTTGGTAAGTTATACCCAATAATGAAGTGGCATATCGTTTTCATTGTAAAACATAAGACGTCGACCCATATTTGCCACGGTATCGTTCTGTGCAGTTATATGTTGTTCTAAATTGCTTACTTCCAGGGAACGTATAGCAGATTCGCTCCAAGCATTATCTTTGGTCTCGTGTCTTTCTTGGGTGGTTTTATTGTGTTACTTCTACCAGAGACTCGGGACAGGCCCCTTCCTGAAACTCTAGAGGACGCTGAACGGTTCAGCAAATTCAAACCCAAGCGGAATGACTTGAATGAAGAAAATGGTGTGTCCATGGTGCCTCTAAGAAGTTCGGAGTATGCCTCTAGTTATGACGACGACAAACACGTTTAAATACAACTTGCATCTTCAAACATATGAAAATAAACATAACATAACATAACAAAACAGACTTTTCCTTATATGGGAGATATTGGGATGCCACTACAGTAATATGATGATGCCCGATTGTTTTGTAATTTTAATTTTTCCGACCACATATTAAATATGATGCAACAATATTAATTAGCTCATTGAGTATGTAGCCATAATGAAATGGTTTTCTATTCAAGTAAACTGGCCTCCTTCTCATTATCAAAACATCATTGATAACGATGAGTATGACAATGCACAAAATGATTATAACGCTGCCATAACAATTGTTAGTTATTATCATGTCAATATTACAAAAAGATGGTGAACTAAGGAAGACTGAGCCACAAACATTTTATTAGAACAATCTTGACCAGTCAACCAGACATTTACTGTACGAGGCAAAGAACTTGAATAAAAACGAAATAAGATATAATCCAATACAACATTGAGGTTCTGTAAATATTTTGAAGGTGAGAGTGGATATCGTCTCCAAGTCATTGAAGAAATTAATATTTGTGAGCCTATATTCCTATCCCATGCACGTTTGAGATAAACAAAGTAATGGTTGAAAATATTCGAAATTATCATTTTCTAAATCTTGCCGTGAAACTCGTTCTCTCATTCGTCAATCAGGTATCGTGTGACTAAAAATAAATCGCGGTATTTCATCAACATGCTAGAAAAGAAGTATTTTACTTCATACACTTTTTAGACAGAGGCAAAATCAAAGCACGGTGTATTTCAAGTGAAAAGTGAAGAGGGCGTAGCACATGCGCGCAAAAATTTACTCGAAAATTTTCAAAAAGTAGAACCCCACTTCAAAAAACCTGGCTACATAACTGGCCTGTAATATTTCAGTGAGGGATTTATTCAACTCACCCTCCGGACATCGTTGAACACACTCTCAGAAATATATAGGGGTTATGCACTGGTAGGTTTTGGATACAGGGAATATCCCGAGGGATATACAATATATCTTCCCGAGGGACCGAACCGACCGTGCATAACTGGTGTATCTCATACTTGAGTGGGTTTAGGGTAGATATAACCTTTTCCACCTTTTTCAAATGACAAGATATTTATATTTAACATTTTCGTAATATTCTTTTTGTTCAATACAATGAAATTGTAACATTTAAACTTAAAAAATTAAAACTTTTGATATTCAAACTTTTTTAAACTTTTGAAAAATTCCCGGGAGCGGGATGGATATATTATATCTGCCCGCATTTGGCCTGGAGCGGGACATATACAATATATCCTGCCCGCTCCTCAGATACGATATATATTCCCGGGTGATATCTACCCCAAACCCACTCAAGTATGAGATACATACAGATATCAAACTCCACATCATTCAATAATTGTATATTATTATCATTAAAATATGTTATTATAGTGTCACTATGAAATAAATACGTACATATATAACGATTAAAAAGAAATCCCTTCCATAATACTTTGGCAATAATAAAATTCTATCCAGTGAGTCATTGTGCAGTCAACAGCATGTGGTAAACTATACACATGTTGACTTGAAAATATCACCTTAATATATATAGTTTTACAATAAATAAACACAACCTCTATGAAGAGATTGGTCATTTCAATATGGATATGGTAATGGACGAGAAACGGTGACAAAAATAAAATAAGAAGTACCGTAAAATCCTATCTATGTGATACTCGAAAGAACAAGAAAGATGATCAGATTCCATGCTATTTTATAAGTTAAACAAATAAAGTTTATTATATTATGTTTAATAAAGTATGCATCCCATGCGGTTTTCAATATAATCAACTGCATAGTAGGGATGGAGGAGCAGTCGCTTAATGATATATATCTAATACTATCTAAAATTGTCAAAATGTCAGTTATTCCGGATGGAGGACACTGATATATTTAATATTTCTTCATATATTTGAAACAACATGGTCTTTTGTAACTTCCATCTGATGCGAATCGTATACCAAAAGTCGGAATTTCAAGGAAGATATACATGTACTATGGAGATGATGTACATGTAACTCGTCCAAACGATCCTCTTCGTCCCTGGTTCTTCCTAATAATAGCGTTAAGATATAGTTAGGTTTACGAACTATTTATGAAATGCAATATATGAATGGATTCTATGCAGAAAGTACCATTTTTGGAAACAAGCGAAAACATGCAGATTTTTAAATTTTTAATTTCACACTTCACTTATTCGTTTCATTTTTAAGTACGAATCTTTCCAACATTACAAATCAAACCACAAAGTGCACCAAATTACAAGACAGTTCGAGGTCAATAAAGTGTATAACTTCCAGAAATAACCTCGCTGCTGGTCCGACATCGTCAATTTTTGTCACTGTTTCTCGTCCGTTACCATATCCATGTTGAAATGGAATAGGATAAAACTGCACATGCGTCCCAATGGTGATTCAATCAGCTAAATAAGCAATAATATTATAATAATGTAGTACCTTTTACCACGTGCTCAAAGCTTGCTAAACTGTGTCATATAAAATTGTGAATCTTCTCATAATATATCATATTGCCGGTGACCAGTCGGATTCGGGGTTTTCGCTTCCTCCCCCTTGGCCAAAAATTCTTTCAAAACCATGCAGTTTTTCACCATTCTGAATACTTTTCAGGTGATTTTGGGCCAAAAAGTGAACCCCGTGGAATTTTTAAAAAACTGACCCTCCCCCTTGGAAAATCCTGCCTACAGGCCTGATAGAGGATACATTACAATAAAGTTAAAACATTTACAGTGTACCAATGTTTATAAATACCATTATACTGATTTCACTCCATGATACTGGCCCCCTTTGTCTTCAAGTTTCCTTCAGTTTTTTCACAATGAAATTCTCTGACATTTTCCTTACATTTCTGTTCCACTAATATAAGAAAAAAAATTATTTCCTGATTCTTTGCTTCATATTTTTTATAAAACATGCCCTGTGGCTTATAAAACTAGGTTTTTAAAAAATCAAAAACTGATATGACATTTTCTTAAGATAATAAACAAATATTGCAAACTCCCTTGTACTCAAAATAATTGAACACCAGTGTGTTCATCAGCTTGTAATGTTCATGTGTCTCATTGATAGATTTAAAAACAGGCTTTTTTATAAAGTTTTACTTTACACTCAGCTCTGATACAATATTCTCTGACATTTCAGGCGCTTTACAGCTCTAATTCAAAAATTACTGACAGTTCCAGGTGCTGGGAAAATAAAAACCTTCTCGCTAATAGGCCCATGGGTGTTTATTTGAAAGAGGGGTGTACGAAAAAGTTGTTTTCCCTCTTTTTGAAGACCCATGGCCATTCTTTTCAAGGGCCCCTAAATAAACGCCCAGAACATTGAACAAAAAGATTCTTATGCATTACCATTGCTTAAAAACAGTGTCATATTTAATTGCTTGCTAGCACAGCTTATATCATATTGCTAGTTCATCCTCTGTGTCTCCTTTCATTGAGAGCAGCAATATGGTTAGTGAATATGAGCAGCAGTGGCAAACAAATAAACAAATAATTATTCCTTGATACTAAATGGGTGAGTTAAGAAAACCATATGTCAACAATCAGAATATCTCTTGAATTAAACGTCTACTGACTCGGAAAAGCAATTGTTCCCCTCTTTGTAACTGCTCACCCCCTTGGAAAAACAATTTTTCCCTCTTTATAAATGCCTATTGGCATTAATTTCAAGGACTTTCAAATAAACCCCCAGATGGCCTATTAGCAAGAAACTACAGTAATGCTGTCATCAGTTATTTAAAAAGCTGTCTCATAATTTAAAACGCTAAGTTGACAAATAGAATACAGTGTGTGCATAGAAAAATATGGGTTTGCATCTAAAGGTTAAATTACCACCAAGTCATTAACATGAAGATGGTGCTGAGTGAAAAAGTGAAAAGATATTGACGAGAGTAAAGCCTGATATTGCACCAAGAGTAGATCCTATCTGAGTCATTGCACCACACCATATAAGGGCTTGACGTCCCTCTCCCCGCAACATTGATGCTATTGTCACTTTTGAGTACGAGACCAATGCTGTCATTGTGATGGAGCAAAGAACCTGCAACAAAAAAAATAAGGAGTGTGTCTATTAATAGATGGCAGTATGAGTCTTAGTCTAGGTTAAAAATCATAGGTTTTACAGTATTGTTTGCATTCATACACACGGGTGTTACTGTACTATATAACTGTACGAGTGTTCACATACATAAGTCTAACTACTATATACTATAACTGCTAGTGACACAGAGCTGTTTTACTGTTGCGTATCAGAGCAACCAGAATACAAAAATAGGCATGGCAAATTTAATTGGTGAGGCAAAACTTAAATCAATGAGCATACATGTATTTTTATAATACATGTTTAAAGCATAGTTTTCAGTCAAAATGTTCAAAAATTGTTTTTCCTTTAAAATTTTGTTGAGGCAGTTGCCTTATCTGCCTGATTATTAGATTAAGCTAATAGGTCCATGTGTATCTAATAAATTCCATTCACTTACAATAATGACTTGTCCAGTGGTGGTCCCTGCAAGTGGGGGGTAGGGACTCAATGCGGCTGTCACAGTGAAATAAGAGGCTCCAGTTGTTATAAGTACTACCATCACTACCAGGTTACGCCACTTGTATGTTGGGAAAAATAATGCCAGGAAACAAACTAGTGGGTTTGCGATACTAGATAGGTTGATGGCGAGGTGGTAGGCTGCACCTGCATATGGTAGTGTATAGTATGATTGTATAGCTGGGAGGAAGCCATTGCTAAGTGCATTGATCCAACATGTTAGACCAAGCACTAAAACAATCACATGTTTACTGAGTCTAGGTCCAAACACAACATTAGGTTTTTTATGCGCCAACAGTGGTCTGCTGCTATCACTGTCATATCCATCTCCATTTGGAATGTCAGGCAAGGACGGTTCATTTGGAAGCACTTTCAAGCGCCTACATTGAGGCAATACATTCAGCAGAGTGAATGAAGTACCACATATGAGCATCATGAAGGATAGAAATATGAAAAAGTCACTAACTGGAAACAATGGTTGTGACACCTTAGGTTGGAGTATATATTCAGTATAGTTGTACCATGTGCCATTAGGCAAGTGAGTATGGTTTGTGATAGTTGTATTAACACACACAGTCTCTCCTCCTAGGCCTTGTATCAATGCAACAAGGCTTGGCAGCAATCCACTGAGGCCTTCTCCAATATAAAATCCAGTCATATACTTTACAGGGAATGATGCCATATATGGTAAAAACACAACCGATGATGTACAGTCCACAAGTGATAAGAAAAAAGTTAAACAAATAAGTGGAACGCTCCTGTTTGCTCCTAGGATGTACACTGTATTCCTCCACAATATGGCACTCAGTACACAGGACACACAACCAATTAGCACCAGAAGGTACACAAATGGTGGCTCTTTCAAACGGCCTTTACTGCAATGATTCGCAACAGTGTAGAACAGTGGTCCAATATTGGCACATTGTATGATGACAGTAAGGTATGATGGAAGGTGCCATTTCTCAGGCAGCACTTCAACAAGGAGGGGTAACTCAGACCATAGTCCATTTACAGCTATCCAGGAACCAACACCAAACAGACAAACCAAGACATAACACAGCACCGAATCTGATGTCACTTTCCTCATATTGCACCATATGACAACCTGGAATACATAAAAATATAATATCAGCAATTATAAAGTTACAGAACTAGAAAGTATAGATCTTGGAAGCAAACTTCAACAAGGCATTAACACGCAAAATGTCACCACATGCCAAAGACGCCAAAAGCTGATCGCCAAACAACAAATATCTAACACTAAACACCATCCACAAAAAAGTTAGAGACTCTAACAATATGTCACCACTTATGGTGGTGACATAAAAACCATGTCAATGTTTTCATTAGAATCATATTTTGTGAAAAAAGAAACAAGATACTAGAATATACATATAGTACCCAATCAATTAAATCAGCCAATACTCCAAAGATTTCTATTAAAAATCAAAATGTTGAATTGACACATCCTCAAAAATTTGAATTCTTTATGAAAGTGCAGAACTACCTCAATATAACACATTGAAGCATAGCATGGACTTTTAGAATGCTTCCAGTAATTTTCTAGTAGTTTAAAATGTTAAATCATTGGACTTATTCTATTATATAATATATCAGAGAATGAGTCGAAACAATAACAAAATAATAACTGTACCTTAGCAGTAAGAGTTGTATTTGTCTCCTCTAAGGTTTCCTCTTTTTCTCCACTATTAATAACAGTTCCCATTCCATGAAACTTCTACAATTAGATAATGTTATGTGAATTTACTTACTGTACACTAATGTATATGTATGAGATAAATACATTTCCATGTGCATTGCACATTACAGTAATTCTACATGATGCAATCCAAATATTCAACTCTTGTGACCCAAGGCTAACCAATAAGTAGGATCACTTATGAATTGACAATCAGCTTGGCATTCCAAGGTTTAAGCTGGAGTCATATGAGGTCATCATGATAGTGAGCTTAGATGTATATTATTCATGAAGGTAGACAGGGGTTGGCAAAATTAGAATTTGCTTTATGTTCCAAATCTTAGAGACAGCAGGCGGCCCATTCTAGTTGAGATTTGTTTACAAGATACATAGACCTCTAACCCTCATCCATTGACTCTTCAAAGTGCACTACCCGGTCTTTTAAACAGATTCCTTTGTACAACAGTAATCATGGTAAACTCTAATTACTTCCTCTCCTAGACTTGTCAACAAACTATTTCATTGCATAATGATAATGGTTTATGCTTCATGGTTGACCAAATAAAGCTGATGATGGTTAGATACATGATAAATACTGGTAGGCAGATTTCTCCACAGGATTTTTTCTCAAGTGGGTGCAAAATTCTCATTTTCCTATTTTCTTAATTTTTCTCATTTTCGAGTGAATGCAAATGGATTTTCAGGTGGGTGCAGGCCTGTTTTTAAAATCTCAGGTTGGTGCTGCGCTGCTTGCTTTAATGCTGGGAGATCACTGTTGGTAGGTAAGTGAAAATTGAATTCATTGCAGTGATCTCCCAAACATTAAACCAGGTAGGCACAGCACTCACCTGAGATTTTAATAATAGGCTTGCACCCACCTGGAAATCTATTTGCACCCACTTAAAAATGATAAAAGTAATGAAAAGTTGAGTTAAGACTCTAGATCCTATAGGCCTATATGCATTTCAATGTTTTTCATCAATCTAAAAAATAAGTAATCAAAAGACCACAATGCCTTAATTATATGAATTGATTTACCAGGTGGTCCAAAAAAGTGAAGTCTGTTGCAACAGGCTATATTTCCCTTATTACACCTGCAGGAATCCTTTCATAATTTCACATGTTGTAGAGGAAGGTCTAAATTTTTGTTGGTTGGTACCATACATATGTACATAGTCTTGAAATTTGCAGAAATTATAAATCCTAACCAAACATCACTGAAAATGGATAAAATGTGAAATTCAACATTTGCGATTCTTCAACCCTTCAACAATCTTCCTGTGGTCATTTTTTTAACCGCAGTCTGAAAAACCTAATGTTTTCTGACTTTGTTTGGTTTTGAATCCCGGACATGAATGAATAAAAAAATCCCACACATTATGGTGTAAAAATGAGCATCCTGCCTCCGTTAGTTGCAAAGTTATTGTGATCCAAAGAAATGTTCTGAGTTTCCAAAGACGAAAACATCTTCCAAAGAAATCGCAACATACCCCTTTAAGGTCTTAAATGTCAATATCTTCATTAATCATGGACCAATTCTAATGAAATGTGGCTCAAAACACTGAATATTAGATTTCCTTTCAATTTTTATAAGATATTTATATGAAGGGCTTCTCAGATTTTGGGTCACAGGGGGTAACTTTGCCCCCCTCTAACCGTTTGTGTAGGTAGCATGTCCCAAATCTCCCTTAACTGTCGGATGGTTAAAACTACTTCAAAATGGTCAATGAAAATTTGAAATGTGTTTCCTGCCCAAATAGTGTCCCATTTGTCATATGGTATGGTTTAAACTTATATCTCTCACTGTAAGCTTTTTAAGACCATCCAATGTGTTTCAACAATTACTGTGAATCACATTGGTAAAATTTTGCACAATTTTAGGCATGTTTGTTTAACCTTAAATGGTTTGTGGGGTCTGTTTGGACCCCAGAGCTCATTCTTTGCCATAATTTTATCAGAAATGATCATTCTATCAACATGAAATTCAATCTAATCCTCAATTAATTCAATTTCTTTCAGATAAAATAAACCAGATCAAAATCGCACGAGGACTTTTTGAGCTACCTGATGTCAAAGAACATCACTATCACCAAAACATATTCAATTATACAGTGATAAAAATGATACGAAATGTTACAAAATGCTTAGACACCTGACCCCTTATGATTAGGTTTACACATATTTCCCTGCATCCATGATTCACAATACATACATATTCTGAAAGGTAATTGATAAGCTATGTAGGACTGAAGTCTAAATGAAAAAAGCTTCTCTGGTTGCAAAGTTATTGCAAATTATATTGTGGACCCCAAAAACATTTAGAGGGTGTAAAAAACAAAAAAAACATTTAAGGGTTAAGTCTTGTAATTTCTTAAATATTCAAGACTGGGAATAAATTACGGCATAAACAAATTTCAGACCTTTCTCTACAAGATGTGATAATATGTATAAGGAAAATATACCCAGTTGCAGGGGTTCAGTTTTTTTTGGACCACCCTGTATATAGTACATAAATGGCATTAGTATAATTTGGATTGCCTGTGGTTCGGCTCATAAAATGTGTGGCCTCTTATTGTCCAAGCACTTACTTATACATACAGTAAAATTTTAAATGTTTGGAACTACTTTGAATTTAAAAAATAAGCAATCAAATGACTATATTGCAATGGTAATATATAAAAAAAACGGAAAGATGTGTACGAGTCCTAACTTCTGTATATTCGAGATAGTTATGTATAATGCCTTTTGTAATGTTTCTATTTTTACATATTCTGTTTCAATTCTCGAAATCGTTGTTCCCTCTTCAAAAGAGAAGACGCGAAAATCTTTCCTTATAAGGGCAAAATATTTCCCATGATGCAGTTCGCGGAGGAACAAATTTATACTTCCTTATTTTCCCTCATAGGTTTTTTCAAACGATATATTCGTTCATATTCCCGTAGGAGAGTACAGAAAAAAATATTAGAAACGATTGATCTCTCATTAATCTTAATATAACAGCTATTTTTTTCATTGTATTGATTCATAGCGTGGTGAAAACGATGATTGAAAAGTGAGAAAATATTCCGGAAGAGAAGGTCACGTGATCAGTAGACTAGTCGCCATATTGGAAAAAACAATTCCATTCGACTTTCAATACTTTCATGCCAATTTTACCGCACTACAAACTGCGACATCGATGCAACAACTGAATAAAAGTATTCATCTTCAAATTACATTATAGAGTTACGTTGAAAACCCACAAACAACTGAACAGTAGACCAAAGAAGACGCGTCGCTATTATCTAGGTCAATCCGTTCAGTGGTCCGAAAGCAAATCTATAGTACTCGTTTCCGAATTTTGTTGTTCGTTGTACAATCTTTTATTGATTAAACTCGGTATACTGACTATTAAAGCAATGACAAAGAAGAATACTTCCGATGGTGTCATTGTTTTATTTAGCGTGCGAGTGTAAAAACAAAATTGAGTAGTTAGTTTGATTTAGAACTTTCGTGTCACGCAGATAGCTACGCGAAATGCATAGTGTGAAAAGATTGACCAATCAAATTTTGTCCTTTTTGAGTGCTTTTTCAGTGCATATTAGCGAACGTTCTGTTTCAAAGAGCGAATCGCGAAAAGGAGAATTTGGTTCAAGAGACTCTTGAAAGGCCATGTCCTATCACAGGGCTTCAAAATCCAGAATATATTCTTAACTTTTTACCCCCTGCGATAAGCCATTTCCCCGATTAAGCACTCGCAATCTGATTGGCTGTCGCAACACTGTGACAGAAATGTATTAATGATTAATACAGTAGGACCTGTTCGAAATGTAAACAAACTTGTAAAAAATGTTCATACTGGCTTGTCATTTCCGGAAGTTCTGATACGTTATATTACCAAACATGTGTGAAATGGAATGTTTGTTTCTTCATTTTACGTAAGCTAAATAAAATGCGAACATCGCAAAAAGTTTAGTTTCTTATATCACAAAAAATATTCACAATTATTTAGCCTCGAGGGATTGTTACAATTTTGGAAATTCACGGAGGTCAAAGCCGACATTGCGGAACTTCGCGGGACACACGAATTAACCAAATTTTGATCAAATTTGCGGGACACTTGACAGCTCTGTAAGTAACACTCCTAGCACTGGCGGATCTGGGGGGGGGGGGGGCCCAGGGGCCCGGGCCCCCCCCCCTTGGGTGGGCCCAGAAAAAAAAAATTGTGCCCAAAAAAAATTTTGAGCCAAAAAAGGCCTTAAGGCCCCTAAAATTAGGCCTTTTTGGTCATAAATTGGCCTTCTAAGGCCTTATTTTTTAATTTTAAGCCAAATTTTGAAGAAAATGGGCCTCTAAATTCCAAAATTTGGGCCCACTTTTGGGTTTTGGGGGCCCAAAATTTTTTTTCGCGCAAGCGCGGACGTTTTTTTCTCAGACTACAAGTTTGGGCCCCCCCCCTTGTTGGTTCCCAGATCCGCCCCTGCCTAGTCTTCAGGTAAATCTTATTTTTCGAGTTCTAACTTATCCAATAGACTGAATTCATAATTTTAGGGGTAGACTATAGATCTTGTTGGTCCATCTTTTAGGCTATTTTGAATGATAGTCTGTAAAATAGTCCATAGACTTACCCAGCTCCTTTGAGTGCATACGTAACTTGCGTATTCGAATCATCTAGAAGTGGACTTTACTGTGACAGTAGATCTACGTCAAAAGTTACAAAATTTTTTTAATAGCTCTGTACAGAAGGTTTTAGTTTCGAACTTAATTAAAACCTCTAATTTGAGCCAGATATAAGAAATATGGTTAATTTGGTTGACCAAGATATTACACAATTTTTATTCGATATATTCAAATTTGATATTTTTAGTTTTTAAAGTATACACTTGCTCCTAAAAATTATACTATTATTTTTTATAAAAAAACTTGTAGCTCTGAAACGTCCATATTGGAAAGTGACCTACTTCTGATTTTACAAAAACATTTGTTTTCAAATGTTTTCTGTCCCATTCAAGCTGAAAATGAATATACATAAGTAGCTGTTAAATCTTGCATGTGAGGAGCGCCGATTGGACTATTTTACAGGTAATTTGCTCATATAGAATGCGTGGTCCCAGGGCTGTCTAGTTCCCGGGGTCTTAGTACAGTTGGGGACATAAATAAATGACAGGTGGATTTGCTGAAGTGAGGATTTCCCATGTTAAAAATAAGAGAATTTACAAGAGGCCATAAATCAGTGGATGAGATTATACAAAATGTAAAATATACAAATTTTAAGGGATATGTATCTAGACAATATTGGAAATTATGGGCTTTCAGACCACCATAATTAGGAAATGGTGATCGAAAATCGACCTGTCATTTATTTTTGTCCCCAACTGTAGAGTCTTAGAATCCTACGACCACTTTATATTGTGGTCGTACGCGCGAACCATTGGTCAGTCAATGTTTCTACAATGTTGGAGAATGAACTACGCATTGCACACTTAAATGATCTACCTCGATACATTCCTTAGTATTTAAGAATTCTTTTTATTTAGTTGAATCGCCAATTGTATGGGTTTATCGGCAGAACGAAGAGATTTTCGTTTTTGATAGCAATAGGTTGCATGTAATATTTGACTTATTTTAACCGTCAAACTCCTCCATCTAGTAGTACGTCCGGTCCCGGCATGCACCAGTCATAAGGGGAATCCCCCTCTGACAAGCTTCCGCCATCTTGAAAAGTGCTTAATATTTCCGATTCAAAAACAAAAATCTCTTCGTTCTGCCGATTAATTCATACAATTGGCGGTTCAACTACATAAAAAGGATTCTAAAATACTCATGAATGTATCGAGGTAAGTCATTAAGTATGCAATGCGTAGTATTTTTCTCCAACTTTGTAAAAACATTGACTGACCAATGATTTGCTCGTACGACCACAATTGTAGTGGGGGTCGTAGGATGTGATAAGTAGAGTCCATTACTGTTTAGAGTACCGTAATCCAACACCAAATTCGAAAATTCAGAACAATACTTTGCACATATGGCGTTCCTGATCAACTATAAAACGCTTACCCCCCATAGTGTTATATATCAAAATGTGCCTGTTCATATAGGGGTTCGATTGATCTACATCAAATTATAGGGAGTCAGGTTACTTTTTGAGATATCAGCGTCCATTTATTGTAACTCGCGTTTGCTACCATTTCCTCAATTCTGAGATGACGGGCAAACGCGTAGTAAACATGCTCACGTCGGAACTGTTTTTGATCTACATCACTATTTTCGTAATTCAAATGAAAGTTGAACTCCTCCTCTTTATTTTGATACCAAATAGTGGCATACTAGGTACCCTAGAAGCCAACTATGGCGTTATTTAGAACAAAACCACAAGTTTTTAAATGGACTATATAGGGGTCATACCATTTGGCGGATGAATATGGAACTTCATACCTTAATATACCAATACGCGATAACATTTGATTTAGTTCAGTTTAGCTACCTCCCGTTTGAAGAGGTCTCATGTATGGATGAATATGTCTACATCCGGGTTCTTTCCTATTGGATTACACAAGGGTGCTATTTTCAATGCCGCACTGCGACTCTATTAAACATTTATGTAGAGTTTCATTTGCACATACGATAGGTATGTATGTAATTAAGATATATGACAAAGCTTTTTGAACTATAATCCCCAAATCCGAAGAAATCTGTAGTTGAAAATGCCGTCTAATAATTCCAGTGACGTCACTGATATCCCAAAAATTGCTCAGATGCCATTCGAAGATCGAAAAAATATATAATGTCACTTTGAATCTCTGATTTTCTTTCTGATTATTGAATAGATTGGATCATATAACTATGCTTGAGGGCTGATGGAAGATCAGAAGCTGAGAAACGTTCAGAGTAATCGACTCGTTCGGTAGGCCAATGAAAATTTGTCCCTTCCAAAGCGATGCATCATTGGAGATATTTATGTAAATTACCACCTGAACTCTTATCGCGAATAGGAGTATTGCGTCAGTAAAACCTAAAAAATAAGAAATCGAAAGATCATTATGGAAAAATATATTCCTATTGTACGTGAATGACATTTGTATATCTTGGATTGCTTCTAGTTTGGCTTAGAAAGTGTGATGCCTCTTATATTTGGATGCTTCTCTGCCATGTTATTTTCAGTAAGATTAACATGGCTGAAATTCTTCAAATTACAAGACGGCACAGGCTTAGTGCACAAAAAACTAAAAATCTGAAATATACAAGTCATTCATGTACAATATGAATATACTTTTCCATATATTATTGCACAATGGTCTCCTGATTTCTTATTTTTGGGGTTCTACTGACGCAATAAAACAGTGAAATGGACTCTAGTATGTATCCAACAGACTGACTAGAAGTCAGTCTGTTATGATGTACTACTTTCCTGTGGAAATTGCAGTGAAACTTTTTGCACAAAATTATCAATTGGAGGAACCATTTCTTCAATAAAATAAACATTACAAAATTTCAATTAAATAATAAGGTAACTCGAGTCATTCTATTCTAAAAAATAAAAGACCACAGCGCAACAATATATAGAGAAATGAAAATAAATGAAATACATATCATAAATATAATGGCATTAATGCTTACCTTTCAGAATAAATATTCTTCTCAAACTGCAACTATGAGTAATCTGAATGAGAAAAGCCCACATGGAGCTAAGTCTGATGTGTCATTTGTTGGCATCACAGGCCCCAGATCTTCATCAAGTAGGCACTCAATCGGGAGTGAGGGTAGCGCAGGAAAATTAAGTAATCGAGGGGGTTGTGAAACTGCCAATGAGTTAAGTTCGCAAGTAGAGCAGGAACATAGAGATGAGTTGAGACAGCGAGAATTAGAGGAAGCCAGAGCAAGAGCTGCACAGATGGAGAAAACAATGCGCTGGTGGTCAGATTGTACAGCAAATTGGAGAGAAAAATGGAGCAAGGTCCGAAATGAGCGTAACAAATATAGAGATGAAAATAGACTCCTTAGAGCCAAGTATGAAGCAGTCATGAAGGAAAATACTGTATTTAAAAATGAGCGTAAAGAAATGAAACGTGATGTGGAACATTTAAAAAGACAAAATAAACTGTTGAAAAACAATGAAAAAGATGAAGCCAGCAGCTCTAGTAGTAGTAGTTTAAAAAGTCCTGTTGTTGTTAACAGTCCTAATGAATCTGGGGATGCTGATGAAGAAAAGAAATCTCAAATTGAAAAAGAGGAAACTGATTTAAATGAGAAAAACCCTGAAAAATTGAAATCCAAACCTGATGCAAGTATGAACAAGAAAGAACAGGATAAGATGGATGAGTGTAAGGATCTTCCAGCAGCTAGACGGCCAGAGCGTGACAACTTGGATAGTCCTGAACAAGCTCTCGCACTGGAGAATATGGCAATATTACAGCTTAAACTGAATGAAGCCCAGAAAACACTTGCAATGGAGAGAGAGTAAGAACTTTTCGTTCAGTAAATGTATTGCAAAAGTTTTGACTTCATTTAGTCTTACTTTTTAGTGGTCAATTAAGTTTATGCAGTTGCAGTTACCTATTATCTCAAATTGTGTTGTTTGTAAAATATTCATGTTTGATACCTAATGTAATATTTGGTCCATTTTTAGAAATGTACATTGTTTTAAATAAGCAACAATTATTACAATTTATAATTGATTTATTGATTTTATTGTTTTACAGGGATAAGGCAGTCTTTAGTAAATCTATGGAGAAACTTCAGTTTGATCTTACCTGCTTAAAGAACAAATATGAGGAACAGAAGAGATCAAAACTAGAAATATCTCAACAGGTAGGACTTTATTTTCTTTCAGTGAACTTTTTCGACAAAACATTTTTCTCCCATTAACTCCCATGTTAAAGTACAATCCTATAGTGAACACCTACCTACTGTGAACAGTCAACACTTATTCTTGGCAAATTTAATTTGATTGTCCTGTCTCTAGTGAGCATTGAATCAGATATGATTTCTCGCTTATGTTTGTGGTTACCTGCCAAAAATAATTAAAATGTCAATTTGAGATGTTGATCTCCTCTTCTATTGAAACAGGCATGACTAATTATCCCAACGAACGAAGTTCAGTAGGGATATAGTGAAGCCCTCCATCCGTCAGTCCGTCAGTCCGTCCGTCCGTCTGTCCGTCCGGAAGATAACTCAAATACTAGTAGACGGATTTTCTTCATATTTAGCGGAAAGATGTGTATTGGTAAATAGTTTTACGCAAAAAAAAAATTTTTCAAGATGGCCGCCGCTTAAAAAATGACGGAACTTTTTGCGCAAAAATCATAAATTTTTCATTCTAAACCAAAGTAATTAATATTATTGTTTAAAATTTTGGTAGTATATTCGCAACATCTATCTATTTCACATATATTCCGTGTTTTTCATCCTGACCCCCAGGGGCCGTGTATGGGGGGTTAGGAAAACAGAAATTTTCGCTTATTTTTAGATCTTTCTGAAGCATTGCTTTATTATACTCAAATGAAAGGCAATTAAGAGTAGATTGCAAATATTGTATATTTTTCTGATTCGAGCCTCGTAAAATTCAAAATGGCCGTCTAATGTATGATTTCGCAATAATGTTTCGATCCCTTCAAAGTATGGCTATATAATACTCAAATTGAAGGAATTTTGGAGTAGATAACAATTATGGTATTATTTTTCAGATTTGTACCTCAGAAAATTCAAGATGGCCACCACTTTAAAAATGACAGGACTTTTTCGCAAAAATCATAAATCTTTCATTCTAAACCAAAGTACGGTAATTAATATTATTGTTTGAAATTTTGGTAGTATATTCGCAATATCTATCTATTTCACATATATTCCGTGTTTTTCATCCTGACCCCGAGGGGCTGTGTATGGGGGGTCAGGAAAACAGAAAAAATATAATTTTTAGATCTTTCTGAAGTATAGCTTTATTATACTCAAATGAAAGGCAATTGAGAGTAGATTCCAAATATTGTATCTTTTTTCTGATTCGAGCCTCGTAAAATTCAAAATGGCCGTCTAATGTATGATTTCGCAATAATTTTTTCGATCCCTTCAGCGTATGGCTATATAATACTCAAATTGAAGGAATTTTGGAGTAGATCACAATTATGGTATTATTTTTCAGATTTGTACCTCAGAAAATTCAAAATGGCTGCTTTACAGGAATTCGCAATTCTAAAATCTAAATTTTAACCAAAGTAATGAGTATAATTGATTGGAATTCGGTAATTGATATTTTGTTCGTTTGGATTTGCTACTCCGCGGAGTTGCCATTATCTAGTTATAATTCTTCATAAACCTTTTTTAAAGGCCGGTTTTAAAGTTGCTAGCAACTCCCATTAAAATATCAGGTTACATCCACACTTTATCATGGTACAGAAAGTCAGGATTAGTAAAAGAGGAGGGAAAGCCCCAGAGTTTCAAGATGACAGACATAATTACCTCTCTTGCTTACCACCTTCGTTCATTCGAATTTTCATCGGCTCGTTATCAAATACTACACTTCGATGGGAGGTTTTAATTGATATAGGCATATTCCGTACACCTTTCTTTATCTTGATGTGAAATGAGAAGCTATGATATTTCGAAAATTTTGAAACCACCATTGATGACGTCATTTGTTTGTCGACTTTTGACCAATCAGCGACCGTGTCATCTCAATACAGATTTACATTATAAGCGTATGTCATCTTTGAACCCTGGTGTTTCTCCCCCTCTGGATTAGTAAGTTTAATTAACAGCATTGCTTAATACTTGATTCTGATTGGCTATGCTTGAGGACTTTTAAATTTGAAAAATGTTATTTGACTTTTAAATTTGAAAAATGTTATTTCTGTTTTTCAAAAGGATGAAGTTAAAATCTGGCTGCAGAATATGAACATCATCGTACATTCAAAGAAACACATAACAAAATTGGAAGCAATACATTTTCTCAATCAATTTGAAATTTGAGGAAATTGACCAGCTTTGTGAAAATATCAAAAATCCAGTTATTTTGGCTGTTCCATTAGTCTATCTCCTATTTATACCCCATGTCCCTCTTTAAGACAGGATATGTGTCTGGCATTATTTGCTTTGGAGATTATCTAGTAAACTATTATTACCTCTATCTGTTAACAGTCGATCTGTCATGACATGGGCAAAGCTCTATTTAGTGATATTTTCATTTCAAATATGGTGGCCAATCCGATGTCTGACAACCCTTACAAAAAATCTAGGCAGTGTGCATTTTTACCTCCTGTGAAATAACAAGTGGAATTTAGTAGTTGTTTTGTGTTTTATTATCATTCTGCATCGTAATTCTATATAATGTGGTGTTAAAACGTCAGCAGAAATACATATCCATACGATAATCGAGTGAATTAGAGAACAGATTTTTCAAAAACCTATCTCCTGCTAAGGATGTAAAAACTTGTATTAACATGCTCAAAAGTGCAAATGTGCACCTCAATGTCAAGCTAAATCAATGTTGTGTCTAAAACAGGTACCTGATCTACTCAAAACAGCTTGTCATTCACGTATACACGCTTAGCAAACATAGCAAAATGATCTGAATCTTGGGATTTCGTTCGAGAGCTAGTAATGCTCTACATGTCTTCATCATAAGTGTTCATCATACTTCGCGCATGCTCAGGAGAAAATCATCAACCAATCACGTTTATAAATCAATTTTGCGCATGCGTCTTACAAGGGTAAAGAAATTCGTATTTATAAACGAACCAATTTGAGATAACCCGATATCATTCGGAGAAATCTGACGATCTACCAAACTCACTTCAAAAAATCAAAAGCGGACTGATCTAAGATTTTCAGTATAGATAAAGTCTTTTGGGATCTTTTGAATGAGGTAAGTCTCTTGTTCGAAAGACAACCATATCAACTTGAACAAAAGTTGAGTTTTGACGAAAAAATTTAACATACGCAGAAGTCGCATTTTCGTCGTACCATTTTGACTGTTAACTCCCAACTTAAACTTTGTCTCTGATCCCCATCAATTTAAAAAACAGGTTAGATTAAAATTTAAATGATCACCCTTAATTGACCCTAGCATGCCAATTAATTAATTCAATAAAGTCCTTTAACTGACTGAAATGTGTCAAGGATTCCACTATTTAAATTTATCTCTTGATGAGATTATAAAGAATTATAAAGAGATTAGAATATGACAATGAAAAGATGAAACATTCGGATGACAGTCAGTCTAAAATAAGTCCATTTATATAACACTACAACAATCTCATGTGCTAACTGAATACAGAAGCTGAAAGGAGTTTACATGACCAAAAATTACAGATCAAATTGATTATTCCCTCCTCTCTTTTATTCTTGTTTAATATCTGGTCTCTTTATATAATACGGCAATATGCTGCGAAATCAAATCCTTACTGTAGTGAACACCTACCATTGGCGAAGTGCTATATTTTGAGTTGTTACACTCACTTGTGGGTCTCTGATTGCATGGTCAAATACAGAATCATCAATAAATGTTCAAACAAATTAATGTATTTTAACACATTTTTAGTTTTTTCAAATTCATTTGGTACACACGGGCGTACTGTGCATAACAGGCACATGACTACCAACAATGAACATTTAATTTGGCAAAAAAATGTTCACGATACACAGGTTTTACTATAATACTACCTTGACTTTTGAATATTTAATGTTGGTGAAAATCAAGTTTATTTCAAATATTCCTACTTATTACTACAAATAATTCTAGTCTTTTCTAGCTTGAACTATTTAATCAAGACATTAGTCGTGCAAATGTGCATATGTTAATATTCTGTTAATCTGGCATGAGTGAAATAGTTAAGATTTTCTACCAATCTGATTAGTAATACTCCCTCAATTGTGTTCTTTTAGATTTAAGATATAATTTTGCATATAAATATTGATATAATATATTATAATATATTATAACAATGTATTCAGATTTCTAACTTTTAAACTCGTACAGTAGTACATTGATGTAAGTCTTAATATTTCAAATTGTGTGAACATATTTTCCAAAATTTGTTTCCAATTTCTCTGTAATTGCTGGAGTCTTTCTAATATCTGGGCTAGAAGCCTTGATTCTAGCATATGGCTATACACATCCTGGACAAACAGACATAACATGATCATTCTAAACTGTTGCGTAAACAGTAAGGACTACTTAAACACTGCGCTGGCTACCCTCATACTTATATGTTAAATTTGCTACATCTCAAAAGAAATTCATGATATTTGACAATTTATACAAAATAAATATATTGTATAAAATGTATAGATATGTGTTTGTAATCACTGCAAATTGGTATGTCATCCCTTTTTATGCCCATAAAATGTATACATTGCTCAGCAAACAAGTTTGTGTTTTTTTCTTGAGTTTGTGTTTGTTTTCCTTGTACCCTTGCATGATTTGGATTTTGCCAGGACGCAAAACAAAGAATCTACTTCTTATGGCCTTATTTGTGATTTTACAGAAATCATATTGTTTGAATTTTTTATTTCTGTAAATCAAAATTTTTTCTGAAACTTTACTGATAACTATGCAGTTTGAGGTCTGTTTGAAGCAAAAGTAACAGCATAATTTATGGTGAAAATCCAAGAATACAAATTTTACCAAAATCTGGTGGCATTTGACCTGGTTCTGTGGTATTTATGACATATCAAAATAAGATTCACTCTCAACATGATTTCAATATGATTCCTTGTTCTTGTTTCTTGGTCACTGTTGAATGGGGAAGATGTAAAGCCCTGCCATCATTTATGGTATCTTTGCTTCTGGGGTATTACTCTGACCAATATAATAAGGGTTTGTACCTAAAACATCTAAAAAGAACATTGGAAAAATAGTTGAAATAGCCATCTTTGAATCTCCATTTGAAATGTTATTTTTCTTTGATTTAGCTAGGGAAATGGTTAATACTCTCCAGCAAACATACATTGTGTTTAACAAGTGCCATTCTTTTCAGTTGTCCAAGTTACGACAAGAGCACAAGGACCAAGTAGATAGGATGGCTACTAAGTTAGATGATGAGTCCGATACAAGGTCCTCTATGGACCTGAGAATAGGCCAACTTAGGAGAGAGGTAAAGTAAATTTTACTCTACTTGAGATGACATGTTTGAAATGTTCTGAAAACCAACAACTTTTTTATTGCATCTTTGGAAAGTATTACATGATTAATCCTTTGCAAAATGGAAAATGACATAAGCTAAGGAACTGTGGAGTAAGTCAGTTGTGTTGAAGAGTGAGATGATCACATTATATGTTAATAACAAATGTTCAATTCCATTTGGCCTGGGCAACATTCACAATAGGAGAGTGATGCCTAGAATACTTGTTGTCAGATTTTATAGGCTAATTCTTTGTGAAGGACTTTTCAATGTGGCCTCTTTATTCAAAATGACCACCACATACAGTCTCTTTTTGTGGTGTGGTCAGCAGTTGGTGTTCAGCAGTTATTGTTCGGTGACTGTATCAAACTGACAAATGGCAGGTGGTGACATTTTGCATGTTAATGACTTGTTTAAATATGTAATCATCAATATTTCAAAATAGAAAAATCGTAGAATCTATTTCTTATATTTTTAGCTTGAAAGGTTACAAGCAGAGAATGCAGAGGAGTGGGGCATGAGAGAGCGCCTTGAGACAGAAAAGCTAGCTCAGGAGCGGGAGAATAAGAACCTGAGAGCCCAGATACATGACCTAGAGATGGAACTGGAGAGGAAAAACAGAATCAATTCAGCTATGATAGACACTGATATGAAAACTATCAAGTCTGACCTTGAGGAAAAAATGAAGGTGAAGTATTTTTGTTTTGTAAAATATTTGTGTCAGTTGAATGACATGCAATTCTATTTGAAGATTTGAAATTTGAAGATTGAAGTTGTGATGCTCTGACAAATGCATGCAGTCAGCCTGATCACCTGTTTCAGACAATCACTTGGTCAATCAATGAGGGAGTAACATAAATTCATATTGCATTCTAGGAGCTTGTTGAATTACGTCATGCCCACAGTCGTCAATGTCAACAGTTGGATGAGACACTTGAGGAGCTTGACCATTGCCGCAGGAGGGCAGAGCAATATGATACAGAAGTGAGGAAGCTAAGAGGGCGAGTTGATGACCTTAAGAAACAGTTAGCCAATGCGGAGGACGAGGTTTGTGATGAGTTTATTTTCATCTCATTTAGTAATTGTTCGATAATTTTTTGACAAATTCCTGTGTTTGTTTAATTTTCAACTGGCTATTTACTTGAAAATATAATTTGCATTACAAAATTGTTTTCATGGTTAGATGATACCATAGTGTAGACAATTATTTTGGAATTTTGATGTAATAATAAAATCTTGTCTGTCAATAGTTCACCTTACACATCAATATTTAATGCAAAACATTTTGGGTTTATTTCTTTGTTCAGAATTTCATACATGGGTACATGGTGTTTTAAGATGAATATAAGATGAAGATGTACAATGTACTCGTATAATGCCTTTATTAGGAAATTAGCAGATCAGAGTCACACATTATACAATATCTTGATTTTCCAGGCTGATGGTCAGAGTAACATTGTCAGGCGGTTACAACGAACAAATGATGAAATTCAACAAGAATCAGAAAATCTCCGTCTACAAGTTGACCATCTCCAATCACGATTGAGGTCTAGTAATCAAGCTGTCGAAATCACGAGAGGCTCTAGCATTAAGTCTATTTCACTGGCCAAACATCCCGATGATTCCAAAAGCACTAATATGTAGGGTAGACTATGAGTAAATAGTATTCTGTATTACATAGTATATTGTGCATAGAAATAAAGCTCTAAGGCCCTATTTCTGTATGCATGTAATAAGTAGAATATATCAGAACATATGTCTCCCTAAACTGTGTAAAAGTATGAAATGCAGCTTGTGCATTTACTTTTACAATTTGAAAAGGGTTGGATATAAAATATTGCAGTTTTTAGTGGTGAATATAGAAGTAAGTTAAAGTCTGATATACAATTGTATATTATAAAAAGCATGAGCATTAAAAGAATGTATCCGTCCTAGAATATGAGGCCATGAAGTGTTCAGAAAGAAATATTTTTTTTGTAAAGTTGTTTAATACTGTCAAGTCAACACAATACTGACATCAATATCTGTTGATCAATGTAGTAAATCTTAAATCAACCAGAAAATAAGTAATCTATAATCTTAATCTATTCACTAATGTGATACTTTGATAATGTGGACATTAAAGTTAAAAGAAGGCACTGAATGTGATGTACCACATATAATACTACAGATCCCAGAATTATGCAGCAAAAACACAAAATTATACAGGGGAGAATGTGAATTATGCACCAAAATGCAACTATATTACGGCAAATCTTCCAAAATATCCAATTTCAAGTAAACAAACGCCATCTTAAATTCTGCTGAGAAATTATTTACCTAATAATTATTATGAATATATGATGAAGCAGTGAAACATCAAGTGAGACATTCTATGCAAAATTAAAAGGTGCCACATAGACATCTAATTCTGGGATATGTAGTAAATGAATAGAGTGAGATTCTTATAAGTGTCATACATATAAATTACATTATATATTGGCACATATTAGTATATAGGTGCTAGGCCTATCAGATATATTAGAAGCATACCATGACAGAAAGTTTAAAATCCACTTTAAATAAAGTGCATTGGAAGCTACAATATTTTTGGGATATGTTTCTGCCATATTTAATGCCAAAGTTCCATAAGACTAAAACGACTTTCTGTGTATAGGCAAAGTGTTAGTGAAGTGTAATTGTCAGTAAATGACAATTGCACTGTAAAATACATGCTGTAATTAGAAAGTATAGTTCTGTATAAGAGCATGTTTGTCATGAGAAAATGATTGCCTGATATTAGGAAATATACATGTAGACTTCAAAACAGTTGTTCCATGCTATCTTATACAGTACATGTACTTGAATCTCTTGGTAGTCATGGAGATATTCTGTAAACTTTGAGACAATTATACTATTGAAGAACAATCATAACACATACTGTATACAGTAATAATGTAATGCATGTTCCATACTAGAATCTCTTGGTAGTGTGTATACTCTGTAGCTATTGCTGAAGTTCATATATTATATTTGGTTGGTGCTTATCCTGACTTATGTGACATTTCAACATTATTAAAATATCACACAAATCTGGATGAACAATCCTGATGAATATTAATCTCAATCTATATCTCATATATATCCAGGGTTCTCACCAAGAAATTTTTAGATCCCAGATTTTTCGCGGTATCACAAGTACTCCTCCCCCATGTGAGATAACCTATTAAGATTTTTATTTTAAAAATTTTACTTTTCAAAATTCTACTTATTGATTATCTTCCCTTTTTAATCACAATATACATTTCTTACAGGTTTCTGACTTCTCATTCCTTGTTTGTATCTAGTTTTATGTATTTTATGAGTTTTACCACAAATAATGTGTCAGAAATGTAAAATTAGATTCCGGAAAAAACACTTTAGACTCCAGGAAAGCTATTAGACTCTGGAGCAAGAGGGTCTAAAGACATTAGACTCCGGAGAATCTTTGGAATCTAAAAGCCTAGTGAGAATCCTGCTATAGTTGTTATTATTAAGAGATTGATCTCCAGTTAATATAAATAGTTTGTGGAACTCTAGGTCATACAGGTTGTACATTTTGCAATTTTACTTTATTATCTGATATTAACATATTTTTATTTATGAATAGAATGTATACGTTTACAAAAAACATTCTCCTAATTGACTGTCCAGTGTCCATGGCTATTCCTTTTCATTTCAGTTTTGAATGAAGTGGCTGATTCATCTTATTCTATATTTATTGCATTTATAACATGGTTCAGTGGAGGGCATTCTTGAGGGAGGGAGGACTACATTCTTTATTAGAGCAAGCATTCCTTTAGATGTAAACATTTAATATAGCGTACAGTATAGCATGCTGATGGTTTACAATAGTAATGAGGGTTAAGTGAACTTCTCACCACTGTCCCCGTAATGAGGTTTCTTCTCCGCTGCTAATAATTTCTCACAGACCGAATTTAAGACTTAGTTAATATTGAAAGTTGCAGTAAAGAATAGAGTGTAAAATTTCAATTACTAAATGCCTTAATATGTTCGAATGTGGCCATATTTTCTTATGTCTTTATGTTGTAACATTCTATGTTCTTTTTAGAACAACCTCTATGAAAAATAAAATATAATATACAAAAACATTAACTGTTTATGTGACATATTTTTATTTTCATAAACAAAGATTACATTTTCATGATTTTGCCTATTAAATAGACAGTACACTGTTTTATCCAGGTGATTCAGGAATATTTTGGACCCATTGTCTTCAAAAGTTACATGAATTGATAACTATTTCATATGTCAAGGCCATTCAGGTTTTCATCACTCTGTGCATGTATGAGATAAGGCCACTGCATAGCAACCACTGACAAATTCACCAAGAGCTCAAATAATATGTTTTACAATATTTCACATGGAGAAATACAATCTCAATCTTTAAACATTACTGTATATGATAGAAATAACAGGGCAGTTGTACTGTCTCCTTTTAGCAAATTCTACACACATGGTGTGACTTGACACCATATATTAGGAAAACCTTCTTGAGTAGTAGTCCTTATGCCCATAAGCCTCTAGCCTCTAAAATTTAGACCAAATTCAACACTAGTATTTGAGTTGGCAGGAAAACAAATTTTTCTGAAAAATGAATCGAATTTGTAGACTGGTAATTGAGTTCTCAAAGATTTGTGGCCATTTTGAACTGAGTGACCATACTGAAAAATAATTCTTCAGCCTAGGTTCCTCGCCCGTAAGACATGAATCAAATCTGGTTTATGAGTTTTATATTGACAAACAAACAGACAACTTCTCAATGGATTCATTCAGTGGATTAATAAGTATAAATTCAACAAAAAGCATTTTCATAGAATCAAAGTATGTTTTCCTCAAATAAGAGCTTGGTATGATTATGGCCAAGCAGGTTTGTGATATCTAATACAATCATTAATATTGTGTTTGTCTGGCATTAAGTGATATCCTAGATACAACTTTCCAGAGTTCCAAGCAGTGCTTTCTAAAAGCAACATTCCTAGATATTATATATCACAGAGTTCCTCACTTCTAATTATTAAAAATAAATATTTACGTCATGCTCTGTATGACATCATAGTTAGAATAAATAACAAGAACCTTCCAAAGTCTTAACCGAGTAAGCAGCTCACATGGAGGCTTTCGGTACATCAATTGCTTCCTCTTTCTGTTTAGTTAAGAACTAAGTGCCCTTGTCTTCAGCTGCACTTAGTACAGCAGCGCAGCTACAGCTGTACTGACTGAATGTCCTCAATAAATGCCATTATTACAATTTCATTGACTATATTTTAGTAACATCCTCTGAACGCAGGGTTCCAAACTGGAAGAATGAGGTACAAGTTCTAGAGGCCTGTATTCGGAGAATAGTTTAGTTATAAGAGTATTAGAACCAGCCCCAATCTGCAGCTGTATTTAAGACAGCAAATGCTGCAGCACTGACAGCTGTAGCCAATACATAGACAGAGACCTTCACTAAACGACTGCTTTCACTTTCTGTCCCATCTACACTTGGCTCTGATATGTTGAGCGATCTGAGTTGTTTTAATATTGTATCAGGTCTTTGAGATTGTGTAGTTTCTTCAAAGTTCATGTAACTACTTATCGTTGTACTGAAAATAAAGGGAAAATAAAATAATACTCTATCTTGAAGTTGAAATAGCCAGCCCTCAATCAATGATAGAAAGAGTATTTCCCTCTAAAGGAAACTGGACAGGTGCAAGATTCTTAATTAATTACAATACCAATTATTTAAAACATTAAACAGGTTTGCATTCATTTTACATGAAATTCATCAAAATCCACAATTTTCAATTTTGCTATCATAAAACAGTGTGCAATACTCATGAGTATTTACATATCAAATATGAACGAAATCGCTCAATTAATTTTTATAGTAAAAGTAAGTTGAGTTATAGTAAAAGGCATAAAATAGCACAAGTAAAAATGGTGGCCATTTCAAAATGTCTAGTAGCCAAAGTGTCATAACAAATGCGCCATGCTAATGAATATTCACATACATGACATACCAAATATGAACAAATTGCTCTATTACTTTTTGAGTTTTAGTTAAAAATGTAAAATAACACATATACAAGAACACAAATGTGTACAAAATGTCCCCACCTATTGGTGATCCCGTCAAATGGTTATCCTGAAAATGAGTAGACAAGACTTTACCGACACAATTTGAGGACGGAAAATCCAAAATGGCCACCTTAAAATTTTACAAAATTATCACATATAACTACTGTTAACAATAACATAGGCTTTTACAACAAAGTACACCTGAAATTATTTATAAAGCTACAAAATAGTTAAAGTATGAAAACTGAAAAACACCATTCAATATGATACAAAGTATTATCGTGCGCCAACTTTTCTTAAAACATTCAAAATGGCTGACATGACTGAGCTAACAGGTCCAAAACCTAAACAGATCTAGAATGAAGTGAGCTGAACAAGATATTAAAGTTTTAAAAGCAACTGTGAAGCCGTTTTTCTTAAAGTTTGCAGACAAGGATTTTAGCATTTGACTTCAAAATGGCCGACAGGAAGTAGGTATCGAGTTAATTTTTTTTCATCTACATCTGTATGCACTCATAAGTTATCCCTGAAAATTTGAAGGTGATATCTGTAGCGGTTTTGGAGAAAACTGTCGGACGTACGGACAGACAGACAGACAGACGGACAGACAGACGGATGGACAGACGGACACGCCTAGGCCGACAATATGGCCCCACACTATGTGGTGGGGACATAAAAAATGATGGCCATTTTGAAAATAGCCAAAATTTCATCAAAAACAGTGTGCCATGCGTATGAGTTCATTCACATATCAAATATGAACAAAATATGAACAAAATCACTGCATTACTTTTCAAATTACAGCAAAAATTGTAAAATAGCATTTAACTGCCACCATTTTTCAAGATGGCTGCCATCAAATTTTCAAATTGGCACTAAAATGGCTGCCATTCTGAAATGAGCAGCCATTTTGAAAATTGGCTTTAGAGCAGAAATTCTACCCCCATAGGCTCCTCATGTGTAAAGAATATTAACAAATTCGGGTCAACGGTATTTGGGTTATTGCACGGATGGATGGAGGCATTCCCTATATCCCTCAGAACTTTGTTCAATGGGATGACTAACCTGTGTTTGTACTGCAAGCGGGCCTCATTTGCCAACTGTTTAGGTGGATATTGCACATATAGATCTCCAGCACGACTAATCAGATCTTCAAATGGCAAGTCTGGTGGAATCTTTGAGAGAAGGGAATGAACTGAAGGCATGTCACAGTCTGCCTGTAACACCTCATCTTGTCTATACAGAACAATCTGTAATGAAGAGTAAAAATATGTGACATAGGAGAACAATATGTGACATAAAAACAATCTGTGACCTTGGACAATCTGTAACAAATACAAACAATCTGTGACATATAAATATTCACTGACAAATACAAATGATACAATTGATTATGAGCCAACCAATATTTGAGTTATCCCATTGACATATGAACAGATGGATGGACAGCTTCTCTATCATCCCTGCTCCAACTTCATTTGGTTGGATCATAATCTAAACCCTCTATAAGAATATAATAAAACGACTACTTACTGCTGCAGCAAGATATATCGGCATAAGTGGATGACAAGCCAGGAAAAAGTCATAAAGTCGCACTGTATGTCGGAAGTCATTCAATACATGCCCATACCAAGTAATAAGCCAGGGAAGGCAGAATATAGTGCCTGTTTCAGACCTGGAATATCATATTTATCATTCATGTTATACTGGATTTAGGTAAAAGATTGATTTCTGAATGTTTGCATTGTTCATAGAAGGGAGCTGTAAACTTAAAATACACAAAGTGAATTGTAACCACATTATGTTTGGAAAGGATTAACTTTGTGCAGGAGAAGTCTCTTTTTGTCCAAATTACATGAGTTAGTTACTAAGTCGATAAGTTCATCAGACTTAGGCTGAGTTAGGTACTAAGTTATTGAGTTAGTTACTGAGTTACTTAGTTACTTTAAAACAATTTTTAATCACAAAACCTGCCATTGACTTCATACATGAGAAAGTTCCGTGAAAATGACCAAGTCCTACCTTTTGTCAAATGTTATTGAGTAAACACCAAAAACGAAATCCAAGAGCTTTGAAATCTACATAGAACATATTTTGCACATGCAGCAACTACTGACATTTATTTGAAAGTCAATTTTAACAAAGTGTCTTATGTTTGACTCTTTTATGTCAAATCAGCAATTTCTTGAAAGCAGGGAGAATGTGGGAAATGGTGATGACAGGTCAAATAGCCACTATTGATATACATGTACATAAAATGAATGTAGATATGACTTAATACGAATAGCACTTTTAATTTGTGCAACCACTGTTCACGGATGAACAGACTAACAGACAGACACCAAGTCAATCCCATAGGCTCACTATGTGAGCCAATAATTTGTAAAAAACTATATTCCAGTATTTCAGTAACAATCATTGCTGCCCTGCAATGCTTCAATGAACATTTGAAAGGAATCTCACATCCACATCTTCAACTAAATTTTATTTGAACTCACCTATCAAGGAATTCCTTCAATACTGGGTTGGCTTTCCCAATGATTGGGTAAAGATAGTTTAGCATGCACTTCGTCCTGTCCATGGAGGAGTCCATAAAGTCTCTGTAAGACAACAAATAAGAACTGTACTGTGGTCTGTTGTAAAGTCTCTACCTTTTGGGAATTATAGCATTGTTTTTGTGAGTTTCCAGAAACAACCTGTATTTTATAGCCAATGCACTGAGTAAAGACTAACTTACATTTTGGACTCTATATCTTTGATGATATGAATTTTATACTTAAAAGGCGGTTTAATCAATTGAGGGTTACCGGTAAGTCACAAAACTGCCAAACATCCTATTTTATGAAGTTATGAAGAATTTTAAGGATTTAGAATTTTTGAATCAGAATAATTTTGCACCTACGTGTAGTTATGATGATTTGTAGGGGTTTAACATACCTTAGATGATTTGTTGAAAGTTTATCCATGATGTAGAATGCTATATCATCATTCATGACAAGCAGAAAGGATACACATATATCATGATAACCTTGGTAGTAATGGAGTTCCTTGTGGCGCACCAGAACACGCATTATCATATCTACTAGCTGTTTCTGTAGCACTGTACGCTGATCATCTTTCATCCCTGAATTAGGCACAAGTACATATTAAAGGTACAATAAAAATGAAGGCACACATAAATATCATCATAAACATCATTCCATCACTTTTTGAGTTTTAGTAAAAAAAGAAGTAATATTTTTGCAAAAAGTTGTATTATGCATGCATATATGTTAATATATGAATAAAATCACTATTTCATAGAGCAGAAGAGATGAAATAATGTATGGACACAGAGTGTATCAAACAGATATACAGAACTTACAAACGGATGAAAAGATGTGTAGTGTTATCCCCCAACACTTCAATTAATTTGATAATAAAAGGTATAATACAATAAGTAAAGTAAAGTAAGTAAGTAATGGTTTAATTTGACGGCTATCATATTTTGGTGGATTGAAAGAAACGCCAAATTAAGTCTTCACCAATTTCTTGAAAAACTCCCTGGGTATCCCCAGAAATTTTCAAGTGACTTTGCCATGTGTTACCTTGCACAATAAAACTTTGGTGAAAATCTGAGGAAAACATGGATAAAATGTATATTTCAAACTATTTCTGAAGATTGGTAACAATGGTAATTCTTGCATTTACCAAGGCTGTTTCATATTAGCATGTCCCTACAATGTGAAGCATTCATAATATGATTATTACAGTGTATATTTAAAATTTACATGTACAGTATATTTCTGTTCCTGATAGATTGGATACTTACCAGGTGGGAAGCGTTTTAAAGATCTATTGACATCCAGCACTACCTGGTTATAGTCTCTGTGGGCCTCTAACACACTTGCTGAAAATATAAAATAACTCATTAATGAATAAGGTGGGCCAAATAAATGACAACATTTAAAAAATAGCTTATGAGATGTGTGAATAAGACAAATTAATTGTAGTTCATTAGACAAATAGATAGACATACTGATGAACAGGCGGATGAATCTTTAACATCCCTTTGTTTGGTGGGATAACAAGGTAGAGAAGCTAGAAATCGTCGGATACAATATACAATTTATGTTGCAGTAGCTGCATTAATTTCTGAATCAAAATTCTTCATTTAAAAAGTTGGATCTCTAGAAACTGAGAAAAATTGAATACCTTTTGGTTTAGGAGGTATGTTGTAAATATTCACATTGACTAGTTTAGGCCATGCTAAATATCGCAGTTCATCAGTAATCAATCCTCCTCTACTAATGGCAAGTTGGCGCAGGGATGTCACATCTACAGGGTCACATTGTAGAGCCTTTGTTATGGCAACTGTTTTCTGTTTCCGTGTTATTGCATCTGTAGTGATATAAAACAATGAATTGGTTGCATTCTAAATTCCAGAGTTACATTCAAAACTAGATTTAACAGCAATGCCAAGCTTTAGCAAATCACATCAAACAGCCATGGTTGCCATTTTTGGGAATGGCTGTCTAATTGTCAATATTCTTCTCACATACAAAATTTCAACAAAATCGTTCTACTACTTTTTCAGTTATAGCAAACAACGTAAAATAATACGTATAAAAATGGCCACCATTTTTCAAAATGGCCTCTCACTAGCCAAAATGTCATTAGAAACTGTAATATGCTTCAAAGTTGTCACATAAAATATCAACAAAATCGCTATGCTACTTTTTGAGCTAGGTACAGTAAAAAATGTAAGATAACACACATAAAATGGCTAAAGTGTCATCAAACAGAGTATGCTTATGAGAATTCACATATCAAATATGAACAAAATCCATCTCCACTACTTTTCCAGTTACAGCAAAAATCTTAAAATAGTATGTAACTGCAATTATTTTCAAGATGACCACAATGTTTTTTAAAAAATTAGATTTTCAACATAATTAATATCCTATGTAATTTTTGCATTTAAAACATAAACTGCAAAATTGACAGTAAAATAGCAAACATTTTGAAACAAGTAGCCATTTTGAAAATTGGTTTTTGGGCAGAACTTTAACTTGGGCCACATGCGTATAAAAGGTAAATGATATTAAGCCAACAGTATTTGAGTTATTGCCTGAATGGATGGACAAGCGTATATAAGGGTTATGCACTGGGAGGTTTTGGATACAGGGAATATCCCGAGGGATATACAATATATTTTGTATAAGATGTATTGTATATCCCAAGGGATATTCCATGTATCCAAACCGACCGTGCATAACTGGTGTATCTCATACTTGAGTGGGTTTAGGGTAGATATAACCTTTTCCACCTTTTTCAAATGACAAGATATTTATATTTTCGTAATATTCTTTTTGTTCAATACAATGAAACTGTAACACTTAAACTTAAAAAATTTAGATTTTAAAATTAAAAAATTAAAACTTTTTATATTTAAACTTTTTTAAACTTTTGAAAAATTCCCGGGAGCGGGATGGATATATTATATCTGCCCGCATTTGGCCTGAAGCGGGACATATACAATATATCCTGCCCGCTCCTCAGATACGATATATATTCCCGGGTGATATCTACCCCAAACCCACTCAAGTATGAGATACATATGTATAGACGGGCCATTCTCTATATTCTCATCCCAAACTTCATTCAATGGGATAACGATCGATTAAATATGATATCAACATCTCAAGACAAGATGAAAATGTATAAAGTCAGGAGTCAGAATTACTGCCTCATGAAAAAGGTCACAATTACTGAGGAATACCTCCAAGAGAAATCGAGCCAGATTGATTGAGGAGATATCAAGATGCATCAATTTAATAACATGGCTTGATATTGGATAAAACCAGAACAACGGCAACGTCAAAGCATAGCGAATCCCATCGAACAGAAAAGGCTGGCATTTTTACAAACGAAATATATAGCAAATATCATAAAACAACACACCGGAAAGGCTACCATTTTCAAAATGGTTGCTCACTAGCCAAGTTGTCATCAGAAGAAATAATATGCTTTTAAGTAGCCACCTATAAAATTTTTGAAAAATCGCACACATGTACTTGTAAAATAACACACATAAAAATGGTGGCCATTTTTCAAAATGGCCAACTACTCCCCAAATTTATTAGACAATGTGCCATGCTTAGAGTATTCACATATCAAATATGAACAAAATCGCTCCACTACTCAGTCAATATGGTACAACGAAAATGGGACTTCTGCGCATGTTGAAATTTTTCGTCAAAACTCAACTTTTGTTCAAGTTGATACGATTGTCTTTCGAACTAGAGACTTACCTCATTCGAAAGATCATAAAAGACTCTATCTATACTGAAAATCTTAGATCAAAACATAGTAGAATACGCCGTCAGTCCGCATTTGATTTTTTGAAGTGAGTTTCGTAGATCGTCAGATTTCTCCGACTGATATTGGGTTATCTCAAATTGGTTCGTTTATAAATATGAATTTCTTTACCGTTGTAAGGCACATGCGCAAAATTGATTTATAAACATTATTGGTTGATGGTTTTTCTCATGAGCATGCGTGAAGTCTGATGAACACTTATGACGAAGACCGGAGCAAACATTACTAGCTCTCGAACGAAATTCCAAGATTCAGATCATTTCGCCGTGTTTGCTAAGCGTGTATACGTGAATGCCAAGCTTTTTTGAGTAGATCAGGTACCTGTTTTAGACACAACATTGATTTAGCTTGACATTGATGTGCACATTGGCACTTTTGAGCATGTTAATACAAGCTTTTACACTCTTAGCATGAGACGGGTTTTCGAAAAATCTGTTATCTGATTCACTCGATTATCGTATGGATATGTATTTCTGCTGACATTTCAACACCACATCACATAGAATTACGATGCAGAATGATAATAAAACACAAAACAACTACTAAATTCCACTTGTTATTTCACAGGAGGTAAAAATGCACACTGCCTAGATTCTTTGTAAGGGTCGTCAGACATCGGATTGGCCGCCATATTTGAAATGAAAATATCACTAAATAGAGCTCTGCGCATGTCTCAACATTTCGACTGTACTTTTCGAGTTTTAGTAAAAAATGTAAAAATGACAGCCATTTTTTAAAATGGCCGCCTACTATCCGAAGTGTCATGAGACAGTGTGCAAGGCTCATGAGTATTCACATATCAAATATGAACAAAATCGCTTCACTACTTTTCAAGTTATAGTAAAAAACGTAAAAATGGTGGCCATTTTTCAGAATGGCCGCCTACTACCCAAAGTGTTATTAGACAGTGTGCCATGCTTATAGTATTCACATATAAAATATGAAAAATACCAAATATGAACAAAATCGCTGAACTACTTTTCAAGTAAAAATAACGAGTAAAGGCCGCCATTTTTCAAGATGGCTGCCATGTGCTTTTTTAATATCTACATTTGTAGCTTTATTAATGTCCTTTATAATTTTTTTACATTTAAAACATATTGCTATTTCAGTTTTACATATTGCACCTAAATTACTGTAAAATCGGCACTAAAATGGCCGCCATTTTGAAATGAGCTGCCATTTTGAAAATCAGCTTTCGAGCAGAACTTCTACCCCTAAAGGGTATATGTGTACAAAATATGAATAAAATCGAGCCAACGGTATTTGAGTTGTTGCCCGGAAGGACGGACGGACAGACGGACGGAGGCGTTCCCTATATCCCTCTGAACTTCATTCTATGGGATAATGAATGGAAGAGGGGAGGGGGTAGCCAGTTTCTGCTACAAAATTCATCAAATCTGCAAGATTTACAGTGATCTCTCCAGAATTTTTTCTCAGGTGGCCTTGCGCCTTTTTATTTTTAATACCTAACATATTTTACTTACTCGAGTCTCTAGCCAATACTTGGCTAGAGGGGATTTCATCTGGAATACTGTGAACTCTATTTGAAAAAAGCTGGCCGTGGTGTCATAAATTTATTGAATATTTTAAAAATCGCCTGATAAATAAATCATTAATCAAACCGGACCCAACTCGGCTCCTTGATGAGATATGACATGATTTCATCAGGATTTCGTCTAAAATTAAAACAAAATGGCTCCAAGAAAAATGGCGATGTTCGAAAACTGGACAAAATGTCATTAACGTCTGACATTAGAAACTGGCTGTAAATTCTAAGTTAGCGATCCAGAAGATGTGAACTAATACACTGATCACTTTATGTGTGTTTTGGAATTTTTGATGAGGTAATAAGTCCAAAACTCGCAATTCAAATTGTGATGTGGAAAAATGGCGGACATATGATTTCAAATTTTATGATTACGACATGACCAGTTGTTCATGCAGGAATATATCTGTACTGGAAGGCCACGACACAGTGGCCTTAGAAGAAGGTAATATTTTACCATACTGTACGCCTACCTTACTCGAGTCTCTAGCCAATTCTTGGCTAGAAGTGTTTCCATCTGGAACACCATGAACTATTGTAAAATCTTAAGCCGTAGTTCAATGAATTTATGTAATATTTTAAAAATCATTCTGTTAATATTTCATGAATTGAAATGATAACGGCTTATCTTGTTGATGAGATATTGAACGTTTTCATTTAAAATAGACGTCGTCTCGTTCTCCATTTTGAAAGCATGCCTCTTTTCCGCTATAGCGATTTAATCAAGATGGCCGCTTGTTGTAAAAATTTCCTTCAGTTTTATTTTGTGAATAAATATCCTGCGAAGTAGACCAATTTATGAAATAGGACTGCGTGTAAAGATCAATGAAGGTGAGTTTATTATGTTTACATCAATAAAAATAAAACAGCTTGGCAATTTCAGGAAAATTCAAAACAACAAAGAGTGTCTTATTTATATTGTATGGCCACACTCAGTGGCCATAGAATATGGTAACGCTTACTCACGTCTAGTCCAACAACATTAGACCTAGCCTGGGCCTCGTTTCTTATCTGACATATCTTATGGCCCCGGCTAGGTCTAACCTCCATGATCATTTTGCCCTTGATGCGTTAATTTAATCATTCCGCAGGTTCCAACAAGCGGAACTAATTAAACTCCGAAAACATGGTAGTATTACATAAAGAATGTGATTCAAGCATGAATACCTACCTTATAAATACATACACACCATCCCATATCCCCTTTAGACCATATTGATGCATAATTACGAAAATATTGGAGACAGGTTTGGAATTTTACGAAAATATCGGTCAGCTCCGGTAACATCGAAATTGCAAATCGTATCAGGAATTAACCGTCATTGCGACACTGTATCAACGAACAGTAGGTTTGCAATTAATAACTATTTTATGTGTATACAAGCGCTATAAATCAATCAAAGATACCTGCTATCCTCAAAAATGGTTATTTTATCCCGAGTAATCGCGTGATAATTATCAATCTATTTGACAACAATTTCGTTTCAATAGTTTAAATTTTAACCCGGGACGAACAGACACAATGACGGACATGCGGAAATGTCATTTTAGAGATTGGTAAGTTTAACCTAATTTTACGCGTATAAATGACCATTTAATACAATAATATTGTGTTGAATCGCTTGATGTTATGTGTTTTTATATTGTTGTCAAGTATCAGTTGCATGTTATCGCGGAAAAATGGTTTCGGTGGATCCAAAACTTGCATCAATGGAAAGAATAGTAAAGAGGTTAAACTCAATAACGGCCCCGAGAAAAATTCTTAAAAATAAATAACGCCGTTATTGAGTTTAACGACGTTGAACTAACTCACGTCGAGAGCTACCATGTTAGATTTTGAAAGTATAGCTCTCCATCGTGAGGATCTCCAGCTGAAGAATTGTGACATCTAAATTTGATCAGCGCCAGTCAGCGGCTTACTGTTTGTCTCAAACTGTAGCCTACATGTGGGCTCATATGTGTCTACTTTCCCCGTGCATGTAGGATCGCTAATGTGCTTCTATGGCGATCAGGAGTTCTAATCGTTTTTTGTTCGATACCCATTTTCAATATGGCGGTTAAACGGAAATATCATCGACGCATGCGCAACTCGGGAAACGTCAAGCCGCCATATTGAATATACCTGGCCAAAACTTTTGACACGACCAATAAAATGAAGTCCTGATCGATACATAGGGCAGTGAGACGTTCTATAGTTGAGCTGAATGAAAGATGGCGATGTAGGATACATTTTCAGGTATATAATGTGCAACATGAGTCAGCTGAATTCCCTGGAATTTTCTTTGAAGTCAGGATTCTTAAGCTGTTGATTCTAGCGATAGAGAGCTATACTTTCAAAATCTAAGTAGCTCTCGACGGGAGTAAGGTAACGCCTATCCATTAGGCAATTCAATGGTAAACTTTCCCTTGAAACAGATTTGTTGAATTTGAAAATGTGGCAAAATTGAGCCTTGCTTCAGCCACGCAATCAGGCATCCCCGAGTGTGCATACCAACTCAAAATATAGCCCTACACCCATGACTGACTTCTAGTCGGTCTGTTGGATATATACTACTGGTAACTTGATATGAACAATGTGAATATCATATATTTTACTTATTTCTACGATCAAAGTTACGTCGGAAAAATACTACTTTGATCATGATGGTGTAACAACCCTGGGTTGTTACTTTTTAAATTTCATGCCCAGTTTAATTATTTTATATATCTGTTAATGTTAATTCTATTATTTCAATTTATTGTAAGGTTTAAAGGTCCTTTAAACTTTTTATTACTTTTGAATTTGGTGCCAAAAACTTGAGCCGAGTTTAGATTAGCCAATCAGAGCACGTCTTATAAAAGCATTAGGAGGCGCACATGGAGAATTTAGAAGATTGTCATTTTTATATTGTGCGGATTTTAATCGTCTTAAATGTAGGACTTAAGGTCCTAAGATAGGATAGGATATGATTCTGTTAACAGTAAATGGCCTAGGATAAGATAGATCAAGTTAAATAGGGTAAGGAAGTTAGTATTGAACAGAGATAGACGGCTAAGTCAAGTGACCTAATTTCGCAAACTTTGAGATTCTACATCATTTCTTTTAGTTGCTATCGTTGATTCCAATCAGATATGTTCAGAATTATGTCTCCTTTTGTTCTGTGAATATTACCAGCTTAGGGTAGCATACTAATTTTGCAAGGTTTTAGTTGAAGATAGATATTCATAGCCATGTGTGTACTTTTATCAGTTTGAATATTTGCCAAAAGGTGGCACTAGTGTTGTTGAGCATCTACATGAAGTAGTTGTATGCATTATATAAGGTCAGATTGGTAATAAGATTGAAAACCGTTTTGTTAGGTATTTACAGTATCTTGTTTGATATACCATCTGACAGACCTTAGTTTCATTGTGAAAACTCATTGTACATATTTCATACTTATAGTTGATTACGTAATATATATATTTTAATTCAAATCATATTGTATGTTATTATTGAGATCAGTGTGACAGTTAGTTGTCAGTAGAGCAGATTAAAATTCATAACAACCAACACACTCCATAGTCAAGGCCACATATACGCTATCAAAGTATTTTTAACATCTCGTAATTTTTTATGTAACGTCAGGCTAGGCGAGTGTGACCCACGGTTGTTACAATGGTAGACTAATCTACAATCATTTTGTTGAACTAGATTATTAGTTCTGCTGAACAAGACAAATGCAATACATTTTAAATATACATACCAGAGGCAGGAGTGCTATAGTGAACACCTTTGTGCCTGGAATGTAAAGATTTTGACCCTCCAATGCCGGCTCCATCTGCGTTCAAAGTCAAGTCGTCAGTTGTGTGATTTTTAGATCTAGATTTCGACCTAGATCTAACCTTTACACTCATTCTTGTTGATCCCTAGTGAGGACACATCTATAAACATACCCCATAGTTAGTCAATAATTCGGTATTTGGTGTTGTAAACTGAATATATTATTAATATTTACATCTTTTCTATAAAAATTTTGTCGCTTACCACAAAATGCTTCCGTTTTCCGATAAATACGAACGCTGCAATTCTTATAATCAATTTGGAACGTATTTCGCCTCATATCAACTTATCTCTTTTACTCTTTATGAAGTCAAAAATCTTGGTAAACAATTGAAAAGAAAACCTATGATAGTTATAATCAGAGGAAGGTTCCAATCAAGAATGATGATTGGATATAAATATGGAAATTATCTTCTGCTTGTTCGGTATTCAAGTGCAATGTTAAAATGGAATTCCCGTCAGGTAAGCCAACATTTTCTACAGATTTTGTCAAGGCAACTTATCTAGTTACCTCATATATCTGACATATTTACATATATACTTGCTAAACATATATGTTATCCTGATTTTGTTGTCACTCTGTCGCGCAAGTTCCAGAAAAAATTGTTTCAATTTGACAAGGAAGATTTCTAAAAAAATCAAAACAAACTTCGCGGAAGTTGACTGAGCTTTGACTCAAAGTTTGAGAATTGGTAGTGACGATTTTTGGCATTCAACCGAAGATACCTCAAGAAAAGTCAGAGATTGCCGAAGATTTGCATTGCAAACGAAGTTGGCCGAAGGTAACACAAATGTGAAGAGGGGTGATGAACTGATTGGTCAAAATCGTCAAAAAATATGGTGGCCTCAAAAATTTCGTAATTACATGTATTTACTTCGGTCCAAAGTCTTCTCTATATTCCGGCTTTGAGGAGGAAGATTGAGCTGCCTTAGTAGTATAAATATTGTTAATCATTGTGTCACACGCTCAGTAAATATGGCATAATAATATGAAATATACCTTTATGTATAGATTTGAAGAACATCAGCTCACATCCCCGTCTGAATCTATTGTTATATTTGATTTCTTTTAAGCGAGAATAATTTCAAATGTTATTCACGTCCAGAACCGGAAGCCATTTTTAGCTACAGCGAGAAAATTTCACCATGTGTCAAAACTCCGAAATGAAATTTCGAAATATCTAAATCCAGACAAGCAACGCTTCATCCTAAATATGATTAATATTCTTAAAAATATTTATAAAATTTATTAAAAATGAGTTCTAGGTGCGTGTAGGTGCGTGTAGCAGAGTACATACGAAATCAATGAAGTTTCGTCTAGCTGTAAGCTAGAGACTCGAGTAAACATGTATGCTTCGGATAATATTATGTTCATTTCTGGCATGTTAACCCCTATCATAATCAAACCTGTCTGACCCAGTTATCTACTTCTGACGTGGTTGGTTGGTTGGTTATATCCTTTCTAGTGCTGATTTAGTCTCTACAGTGCTGATACAAATTAATTGATAAGTCGTATAGTTGGCATATTTTCTTGAATTTTAACATTTTATGTCCTAAACTCCCACAGACTGCAGAAAAGTATATACCGTAAATCATATTTACCACAATGAGTGTCTCCAAGGCTATTCATACCAGTGTATGCATAATGCATTTGTCACGAGTTTTAGCTGAAATTTCGCTAAAATGAAGTAGGCTAAGGGTAGTCTCTGCCAGGTTTGTTCATTGTGGTCTTGTAAGTGCTCAGAAGCAAACAATTCATGTGCCCAAAATAATCATATAATCTGATTTGTTTAAACTTTGCTGCACATGCGTGCAATGTGTGTCATGTTTTTTTCTAGTGATTTCGTTTCATGGAGTTTGAGTTTCAGTTTAACTTTCGCAAAAATGGCGGACCAATGACAGATTTAACAGGTAAAATCACTTCGAAATTTTAAGAGAATTTTTTACCTATAATCACGGGGTACCATCGAATAATTTTGGCAACGTACCGGAGAACGACATTTTACTAAGAAATGGCAATAATTTAGCACAATATATTTTTTAACTAGAGTTCTATTTTGATTTTGACAAAAGTAAGTATTCCATGCAATACATGTAACTATTTCATTCATGAGTTTGTAGGAATTCTGTTGGAACCCAGTTCTGATCAAGTACGAAGTTATTGAAATTGGCGCAGACAGACTTTACTCCGAAAGATGGTTTTTCGATTATAACTTTTCACAACATTTAAGTATACATGTAGACTTTTGAAAAAAAGCACAGAATAGTCCTTATACTTTTGAATAATTCTGTTATTTCTGATTCACACGACTCTGATTTGTTCAATTTAAAAAAAAGTTTTAAAAATATTACTTAGGAACGTAACCGGAGCTGGGAACGTAACCGGAGCAGATCAGTTGAATTATTTAATCAAAAAAATTAAAATATATGATTTAAAGCACATATACTAATTTAAAAACATACGGGATTGTTCGAATGCGTATTTATTAGTATGCTTTAAATCATATATTTTATTTTTTTTAATTATATAATTCAACTGATCTGCTCCGGTTACGTTCCCAGCTCCGGTTACGTTCCCAAGTAATATTTTTAAAACTTTTTTTTTAATTAAACAAATCAGAGTCGTGTGAATCAGAAATAACAGAATTATTCAATAGTATAAGGACTATTCTGTACTTTTTTCAAAAGTCTATACTTAAATGTTGTAAAAAGTTATAATCGAAAAACATCTTTCGGAGTAAAGTTCGACTGCACCGATTTCAATAACTTCGTACTTGATCAGAACTGGGTTCCAACAGAATTCCTACAAACTCATGAATGAAATAGCCATTGCATGGAATACTTACTTTTGTCAAAATCAAAGTAGAACTCTAGTTAAAAAATATACTGTGCTAAATTATTGCCATTTCTTAGTAAAATGTCGTTCTCGGGTACGTTGCCAAAATTATTCGATGGTACCCCGTGATAATAGCAAAACTTTTGTTTTATTTGTGTATTCCATCTACTGTATCAGATAAGAGTCTCAGGGGTATGTAGGCAAATTCATTTTGGTAGGAGCACTCTGTTTAGTTTGAAAACGCACCCTTTATTATTTTATATCAGCACTGTAGTACTTTTCCCTAGTGCTGCGATTTGCACAGGCCTGTTGATTCAGTAACCACCATTTTTAACATATTTTACTATAACTCGAAAAGTAGCGGAGCGATTTTGTTCATATTTGGTTTGTGAATACTATAAGCATGGCACACTGTCTTGTGACACTTTTGGTAGAAGGTGACCATTTTTCAAAACGGCCACCATTTTATCCTATTTTACTCAACTCGAAAAGTAGTGGAGCGATTCTGTTCATATTTGGTATGTGAATACTATAAGCATGGCACAGGTAAAATCACTTCTAATGACACTTGTGGTAGAAGGTTGTCATTTTGAAAAATGGCTTCCAATTTTTGCTATTTGTTTGTAAAAATGCCAGTCATGGCTGTTCGATGGGATTTGCTACGCTTTGGTGTTGCTGTTGTCTAGTTTAAAAGTAATACACAATACACCAGATGCAAGAAGAAATAATCTTGATTTACTTCATTAAAATTCAAAATTCAGTCAAAATGATGTCATATTTGGAATCTACATGTAAAATTACATCTATTGAAATGTGGTTTTGAAAAGAGTTAATCAACTTTGAAAATTTAATTTTCTTTGAAAATGTGATTTCTAGGTCGGGGAGAATACCCTGCCATGTTATTTCCCCCGAATCAGCCACCTGGTGGCAAAAGTGGTAACTACAGGCCTGTCAACTTGGGAACACCTAACATGAGTGACTTGGAAATGTTGAACACCTCCCCTTAAAATGTGGACACCTTGGTCCAAATCTGGACACCTTGATCCAAATTTTGAACACCTTGGTTTAAATTTTATTACATCTTGCCAAATTTTGAACACCTCAAATTTTTCGCGCTCGCTACGCTCGCGTTTCAAACATCCATCAACGGGGGGGGGGGGGGGGGGGGGGGTAGGTACGAAAAATTTCGAACGGAATGCGTGACATATACGTAATTCGCGTGAAAAGTCCGAACGAAATGCGTACATTTTTTCCGGCGTTCGTATTTTTGCTGTGTAGACGATCTGTTTTAGAAATTTTTCTACAGAAATATTTTGGCGTGACAATTACCAGGTAAAATGCGTATTTGCGTGACATTTTCTGTCACGCAAAAATAACTGGCGTGACTTCGAATTCTTCAGCAAATGCGTGACAAATACGCAAATTGCGGGACAGTTGACAGGCCTGTAACTACCTGCTCGCATCTGAGTGATTGGTAGTTTATTAAAAAGATATAAGTATTATTGCTGAATTTTACATTAAACTTGTATAAATGTACCTCTTTTGTTGAAGGTACCAAAGTTCAAATTTCCCTCCTTTTTCCACAATTTGGAAATCCACAGTGGATCATTTTTTGGTCGCTCATGAAACCCCTGGTGTCAATTCTAGCCTCTAACTCCACAAGAAAACGGATGGTCATATTGTAAGGAAATGATTTATCTTTAAAATGATATAATGCATTGCATGATTTAACATATCATATGATATTCATCTTTAAACTTGGATATTGTTTTTTTAGCCCACGCTGTATATAATTTACAATGTCAATTCTATATATATTTTGCATTGGCTTTACTCTTTATAGGAGTCTTGACAATGACAAGTGAACCACCAAGCACAATACCAAAAGGGACATCTTCCTTAGCATCTCACAACCCCAACATAGGGCACAATACAAACAAACCACACCTGCAACCAAAAGTATCCCCTGGTAATCCAGGGCACCAGCATACTGCAGAGATGCAGAGTCTTGTCTCTACCCTGGAGAATGCGATAAAGAAAGGAGATACTCTTCTCGCTCAAAAAATTGTATCATTACTTGCTGGTTATAGACTTAATTTACAAATGGAAGTTAAGGATAAGCAAGGTGTAGATGATTTGGATAAAGAAATTTGGTAAGTTTTTAAATTAGCATTTTTAAGTGCATCTTCAAACCTGTAATTTATGAAATATGGATTATATAATTTGCCATATCCAACAAAAATCTCATAAGTCAGTAAATTCCCACTGTTAGAATACTAAAGTGATACTAACTTATATCCTCTTATATATTTAACCTCTTATACCTAAGATTAAACATCTCTTTTACACACGTGTAAAAACTTTTTTTTAGGGCCTTACAAGCTCTGCTTGTATTCAAGTCAACATCTTCATGCTTTAAAGCCTTCAAGATTCATTGTCTTGTATTTAAGTCAACATCTTCATGCTTTAAAGCATTCAAGATTCATTGTCTTGTATTTAAGTCAACATCTTCATGCTTTAAAGCCTTCAAGATTCATTGTCTTGTATTCAAGTCAACATCTTCATGCTTTAAAGCCTTCAAGATTCATTGTCTTGTATTTAAGTCAACATCTTCATGCTTTAAAGCCTTCAAGATTCATTGTCTTGTATTCAAGTCAACATCTTCATGCTTTAAAGCCTTCAAGATTCATTGTCTTGTATTCAAGTCAACATCTTCATGCTTTAAAGCCTTCAAGATTCATTGTCTTATATTCAAGTCAACATCTCCATGCTTTAAAGCCTTCAAGATTCATTGTCTTGTATTCAAGTCAACATATTCATGCTTTAAAGCCTTCAAGATTCATTGTCTTGTATTAAAGTCAACATCTTCATGCTTTAAAGCCTTCAAGATTCATTGTCTTGTATTTAAGTCAACATCTTCATGCTTTAAAGCCTTCAAGATTCATTGTCTTGTATTCAAGTCAACATATTCATGTGTTAAAGCCTTCAAGATTCATTGTCTTGTATTAAAGTCAACATCTTCATGCTTTAAAGCCTTCAAGATTCTTTTTTTTTTTTTTTTTTATTAAAATCAACAAATTATATACAAATTACAGAGAGTGTTGTTACGTTACATAAAAAAAACAATCTTTTTCAAGAATCAGAAAATGGAATCAGCTAAATAGTAAATACTAATATTGTTCTGTTTACCACCAGCAATACAATTTTTAAGTTGGATAATTTTCTTAAAGGCAACCTTGGTAAGTATAGGATTACCAAATAAAATGTCATTACAGGTTATACCTGGGAAATGCTTATCCCATAAATATCGCACTAATTTGCATTCATAAAAATAATGTAACAGATTGTCTTGCACTAAGCAGCTTTGACAGAGTTCATTTTGTACTTCTTCAATTTGATATTTGTACATTAATTTTCTGGTAGGAAATATTCCATGCATAATTTTCCACTGCAATTCAATTATTTTTGTTTCTTTAAATAATTCTTTTGTAAGGGTCCATTGTTTTTCACTAAATCTATCTGGACCAATGAGCAACCTGTCTTTAGTTAATTCAAGTCTTACATTTTTACATGTCAATTCTCTTACATTAATGTTTCATTTCAACATCTTCATGCTTTAAAGCCTTCAAGATTCATTGTCTTGTATTCAAGTCAACATATTCATGTGTTAAAGCCTTTAAGATTTATTGTCTTGTATTCAAGTCAACATCTTCATGCTTTAAAGCCTTCAAGATTCATTGTCTTGTATTAAAGTCAACATCTTCATGCTTTAAAGCCTTCAAGATTCATTGTCTTGTATTCAAGTCAACATCTTCATGCTTTAAAGCCTTCAAGATTCATTGTCTTGTATTAAAGTCAACATCTTCATGCTTTAAAGCCTTCAAGATTCATTGTCTTGTATTCAAGTCAACATCTTCATGCTTTAAAGCCTTCAAGATTCATTGCCTTGTATTCAAGTCAACATCTTCATGCTTTAAAGCCTTCAAGATTCATTGTCTTGTATTCAAGTCAACATCTTCATGCTTTAAAGCCTTTAAGATTTATTGTCTTGTATTGATATTTCAACCACATCCATTAAGTGAGTGGTATGTTTTATGTTTCAGGATGAAAGTGTACATTGAAGATCAGAAAACCACAGTGGGTCCTAAATCTATCAAAGTTCAACCTTCAATGACAATAAAAGACTTAAAAAACAAAATATTCCTTGACTTTGATTTCCCACCAGCCATACAGCAATGGATAATAGACAAAAAGATTACTAAAGATCATATGACACTTGCTGAATGTGGTGCTAGAATAGATGATTGCACAGTCTTCCTGTATTTGTTATCTGCCAAATCTGTTGGCTTAAAGTGGGAGGCAGCAAGGAAACAATATGAAAGGCTTTCTGCAACTGGAAGCATTGATGAAGAGGATCAAGGTGAATTTGTTTAGATGTTACATATATTTGGAATATATAGGAATTTGTGCTTCCTGGTGGGGTTAGAGGCAATGGATCATTATCATTCGGGAGGAAGATAATGGTTTGAGGCAATGGATCATTATCATTCGGGAGGAAGACAATGGTGTATGGTACTTTCTGGTGGGAGGAAATGGATCCTTTCCATTGGGGAGGAAGATAATGGTTTGAGGCAATGGATCCTTTCCATTGGGGAGGAAGATAATGGTTTGAGGCAATGGATCCTTTCCATTGGGGAGGGAGACAATGGGTATGGTACTTCCTGTCCTTTCCATTCGGGAGGAAGACAATGGTGTATGGTACTTTCTGGTGGGAGGCAATGGATCCTTTCCATTGGGGAGGAAGATAATGGTTTGAGGCAATGGATCCTTTCCATTGGGGAGGAAGACAATGGTTTGAGGCAATGGATCCTTTCTATTGGGGAGGGAGACAATGGTGTATGGTGCTTCCTAGTGGGAGGCAATGGATCATTATCATTCGGGAGGAAGACAATGGTGTATGGTACTTTCTGATGGGAGGCAATGGATCCCTTCCATTGGGGAGGAAGATAATGGTTTGAGGCAATGGATCCTTTCCATTTGGGAGGGAGACAATGGTGTATGGTGCTTTCTAGTGGGAGGCAATGGATTATTATCATTCGGGAGGAAGACAATGGTGTATGGTACTTTCTGATGGGAGGCAATGGATCCCTTCCATTGGGGAGGAAGATAATGGTTTGAGGCAATGGATCCTTTCCATTGGGGAGGGAGACAATGGTGTATGGTACTTTCTGATGGGAGGCAATGGATCCCTTCCATTGGGGAGGAAGATAATGGTTTGAGGCAATGGATCCTTTCCATTGGGGAGGGAGACAATGGGTATGGTACATCCTGTCCTTTCCATTGGGGAGGGAGACAATGGTTGGAGGCAATGGATCATTATCATTGGGGAGGGAGACAATGGTGTATGGTACTTTCTGATGGGAGGCAATGGATCTTTTCCATTGTGGAGGAAGACAATGGTGTATGGTGCTTCCTTGAGGGAGGCGATGGATCCTTTCCATTGGGGAGGGAGACGATGGGTATGGTACATCCTGTCCTTTCCATTGGGGAGGGAGACAATGGTTGGAGGCAATGGATCATTATCATTGGGGAGGGAGACAATGGTGTATGATACTTTCTGGTGGGAGGCAATGCATCCTTACCATTGTGGAGGGAGACAATGTTGTATGGTTCTTTCAGGGGAGGGCAGTTTGTGGAAGGATGTGATTGAAGAGTGATCACTTAAAAGCCCATTTCTCTCTTTAGTAATATTTATTTATATAATATCCATATTTAGCAAAACATAGAGAAATGTTTTGATATGGTCAAAATTTATCATTTGATAATACGGGTTCATTTTTTAGGTAGGCTTCCATCTTCTAGGATTGAGATTAGCTTTTATAGACTTGCCCATATAGAACAGAAAAGAGGCACCAGTATAAGAAAATCATGTCTAGACAATTTTCTATTCAAATACTAAAACAAGAGATTATCTTTAAAATTACATCAAAGACATATATATGTAATTGAAAAAGAATATTCAGCTGGATTTGTGCTTCCTACATACCTTCTTGCCTTATGCTATATGTTCGTAAACTTAAGAGGTTGATGACATCACTTCCTGTGTGATATCTTAAAAGGTGGCAGCCCACATGAAATGAGCACTGTATTTTTAAATGATTTGGGATAGCACATTCCATATTTATTTTCTTGCCCATATATATATTCTTTTTCTTCTTTCATTGTCAATTACACTTTTTTCCCTTGCATATTTTAGAAATTTAAGCAACATTTTTTCAGACCCTGGTAAGACACTTCAAGGCCCAATGATATCTCCACCTCCCATAGCAGCACCCAGGAAGGTTGCTGGTACTCCTGGAGCAGAAGGGGGTCTTCCTGTCAAACCTCAAGTTCTAGCTGGTCAACAACATAAGCTCGATAACATGTTGCATGAGATTGTGCAGGGGGCGGGTGCTCTCGTTGGGGCAGTGGGTGGTGCTGAGGGTGGTGCTGTGGGTGGTGCAGTAGGTGGCATTGATCCACCTTCTCTAGAGGTTGACCCAAATCAGGTAAGTCACATTACAGTGGTAACCATTAAGCAATTAGCAATGTTGCATGCTCTTTGAACATAAACCCTTGAACATCTAACTTAAACATCTAGAACCAATCATTTCATTGAGGGATATGTAGTATCGAATGTAAAAATGTATCGTTTCATGTGTGTCCATGTGACATCATTTTCATTCAACTTGGTAGGTCAAATGTTAGGACATCATTTGTAATTGTCTACACATTTACACCTATAGTGTAATAGTTTGAATGACCAATCAAACATTTCTTTCAACTTCCTAGCAATTATTATTTGAGTACATTTTGGCATGTACAATACGCTAGCAAGTGTTTTAGTACGTAGTTTAAACTTTAAATAAACAGTAATCAATCTATATTATGTTTCCTCCAGGAGGGATGGGTGTGTGAAGTGTGCACATACTTTAATAGACCACTGAGGCCAGGATGTGAAATGTGCTCCACTGACAGACCCACAGATTACAAGGTTCCTACAAACTACCGTCCAACAAGTGAGGAGAAACAAATTCTGGAGAGTATGCTGCGATCAGATGAACAGACTAAAATGGTAGGTGTTTAATGTTTAAAACTCATAATACTGTACAGCTTTAAAATACCATGCTATCCAATATCAATGGAAAATTCACTCTTTTCAGCCTGAATAGTAGCTGTTTTTATCGTACCTAATAAAGGTACGATATATTGTCGTCAGCTTGACGGGCGGGTGGGCTGGTGGCGTCTCACTTTTCAGCTTGTCTACAGGTTTCCAGCCAAACCATTTGACAGATTCATCTGAAATTTTCAGGAATGTTTCTACGTATCAAAGTTAAGAACTGGTTAGTTTTTGGGCATTCTGGGTAAATTTTAAGGTGGCCATTTTGGATTTTCCGTCCTAAAATCTTCACTTTCAAGACTTGTCTACAGGTTTCCAGCCAAACCATTTGACGGATTCATCTGAAATTTTCAGGAATGTTTCTACGTATCAAAGTTAAAAACTGATTAGTTTTTGGGCATTCTCGGTAAATTTTAAGGTGGCCATTTTGGATTTTCCATCCTAAAATCTTCACTTTCAAGACTTGTCTACAGGTTTCCAGCCAAACCATTTGACGGATTCATCTGAAATTTTCAGGGATGTTTCTACGTATCAAAGTTAAGAACTGACTAGTTTTTTGGCATTCTGGGTGGCCATTTTGGATTTTCCGTCCTAAAATCTTCACTTTCAAGACTTGTCTACAGGTTTCCAGCCAAACCATTTGACGGATTCATTTGAAATTTACAGGGATGTTTCTACATATCAAAGTTAACAACTGATCAGTTTTTGGGCATTCTGGGTTAATTTTAAGGTGGCCATTTTGGATTTTCCGTCCTAAAATCTTCACTTTCAAGACTTGTCTACAGGTTTCCAGCCAAACCATTTGATGGATTCATCTGAAATTTTCAGGGATGTTTCTACGTATCAAAGTTAAGAACTGATTAGTTTTTGGGCATTCTGGGTAAATGTCCATTTTGGATTTTCTGTCCTAAATTCTTCACTGTCACACTGCTGTGTTTTAGGTACGATATTGTTCACGTCTGTGCCTTGTTCAAGTAGAAATGCTTTTGTGTATGTTTGCATCAATATCAAATATCATCTCATGACATAATTATTCCAACCTTTTATGCATGTTTGATATAGTGCATTTTGTTCTATTTACTCTATTTACAAACTCTAACATGACTCTTGCCATTAATTCCTTTAAGATTCATCTTCCACCCCATCATTTCACCTTAAAACTGACAAATCAATAAACCTGACACACAGACAAGCTGTTTTTGACTAAAACTGATTGACAGATGCTATCACTTGATAGCAGGCACAACACTATGAACGTCTCATAGTGCAGCTCTGATATTGATTTTTTTATATGCATTTGTGAATTTGTCAATTTTTACAAAATATATAACCGATCTCTTTCATATTTGTGAAAATACTTGTCAAAAAGTGATTCACTTTTTGGGATACCAAATATATAAGGTCTTCCCTCACAGTCCAGTGCATTATTTAATGAACCTTATAGTATATGATGTAATTTACTAATGAACCATATTTCAAAAGGAAACTGTTTAGATCTACACTACGTGATAAAACTTACTTCATTTAGATTTTTCCTCAGCCTACACACGCCCAGTGATCGTACAAAATGGATGGAGGGGGGGATTAGGCGATTTCTACAAGAAAACTCAACAAATTTGGAAGATTTATTTTTTCAAGAAAAAATTTACAACTGAATTGTTTTTGCTATAAATCAGGCAACAATGGTCTACACGACCTGTAATAAATAAGTATAAGGGACGTTATTATCGCAATACTAAAATACTAATGACATTGCCCACTTTTTAAAGTTAGTTTCCATACGCTATACAAAAAATAATCGAAGTAAAATTAATATTGGATGGAGGGGGGGATTGGATGGAGGGGGGATCACGTTAAATAAGACCAAAAGCAATGGGTAAGCATCAATTCCATTGTTATTGCTGTTGAATTGGTGACGATTGTTTTGGGTAGGCGGGGCACGCTTTTATATATTGTGTTTGAAGATTATTTGTAGAGTTTTTGTACATGTTGTAATACCTTCAAATATATCAAATTCACATGTAAGACTACATTTCAACCCATACTCCTTCAAAATAATTGCAACCAAAGTCAATGCAGTTAAGGCAGAGTTTCTCCCTGTCCTTAAAGACGTGGGGCAGGTCACCATTCAATGACAATGCAGACTGCCATTGGAAGCTTTAATGATACCTTCATTGCTCTCAAAACGTATTCCCACTTTGCATTTGGAAAGAGGTATTAGTCGAATGGGGCCGGGTCTTTGGAATAAGGAGCCTGGGGTAGTTGTGTGACCATGGTGAAGGCATCGTCTACTGCATCTTCGGTAATGTGGGCTCTGTGGGGTAGAGCATTATCGTCATGCCAGTAAAATCCCCTTTCAACCACATTTTACTTGATAGAAACTGAGACTGAATCGCGACCATCATTTTGATACATGTCCTTGATTTCTTTGTGTTGATGACTCATAAATGAAACAATGGAATGCAGATACCATTGCAATAATACATAATAAACAAATTATGCAGTCTTGCATGAAAATGTGAGGTCATTTGGAGGTATACACAATGTAAATAACTCTACAAATCATCTTCCAAAGCACCTTACAAAAGGGTGCCCCACCTACCCAAAACAATCGTCACCATAGCAACACCCATAACAATGGAATTGACGCTAACCCATTGTCATTGATCTTGTATAATAGACTAATATTTTCTGCATTATCTGTGAACATTTCAATGTGATTGAATAAAGTTTGAAAAAATGAGAGCATTTGGTTACTTACTTTCTGATCGGGCCTCGTATGTAAGACATGATAAGACATGCTACTTGAATTTATTCTTATGACTCCAAATTTTCCCATTTTTCATTCTCAAGAGATATAATATCCAGTTTCTTACTGGGGTACTGAGTTTAGTTTTTTCAAATACACTAGTTCTAGTGAATTTGTTCCATCGTAAAGACATATAAATCCCCCCCCCTCCATCCACTCCCCCCTCCCTCCATCCAATATTAATTTATTTCGATTATCTTTTGTATAACGCATGGAAACTAACTTTAAAAAGTGAGCAATGTCATTAGTATTGTGATAATAAAGTCCCTTATACCTATTTATTACAGGTCGTGTAGACCATTGTTGCCCGATTTATAGCAGAAACATTGACTTTTGCACGTTGGTGATGATGCGCCTTTTTTAATAGATCTCATATCTTTGAAGGGTGTCAGTTCAAAAAAAATACTAGTTGACCTAACATATTTTGCCATGCACTGCGCCTATTCATTTGGCAATTTAGTTGTAAATTTTCTCTTGAAAAAATAAATCTTCCAAATTTGTTGAGTTTTCTTGCAGAAATTGCCTAATCCCCCCTCCATCCATTTTGTACGATCACCGGGCGTGCTACAGACAATGTTAAAATCAAGTTTTTTTTAGATCATGTAGGTCTGAACAGTTACCCTTTGAAGCATACACTTTGCATAACACTATGATGAAAATTGCAGAACCTTTAAAAATAAAAATAAATTGCTGTTTGTGCACTCCAGTGATGCTTTCTGCCCAATGCATTATTATATTCACTAATAGACTGTTATTCACTCATACATGTATCAAGGGTGTCTCAACCAATCAGCTTATTAGCATTTCAGTGCATTTATATTTATCCGTATATGCAGATTTTACAGTGCATTTAATTTTTTCATAATTAACAGACTGATGAGAGTGCTTTTCTTAAAATAAACGGCAAGACAAGTGGGCGATAATAATAGCTCACCCGTGGGAGTTAAAAAGGGATGATGCCATAACATCAATGTGGTCATTTCATTCAATGCTATGATTTTCTAACTAGAATTTAAAATTGGTGGCAATTTTTCGCAAAGATTTTAAGTTTTCATTTTAAATCAAAGTAAGAAATATTATTATTTAAAATTTGGTACATCTATCTACTGTATTTCACATATTTTCAGTGTTTTTTCACCCTGACCCTCAGGGATATATTACCTTTATTATACTCATATGAAAGGCAATTTAGAGTAGATTGCAAATATTGTATTGTTTTTTTGATTCAAGCCTTTAAAATTCATAAAATTCGAAATGGTTGCCTAATGTTGGATTTCGCAATAATTTTCTGATTTTTTTCATAGTGTGGCTATATTATACTCAAATTGAAGGAGTTTTATAAGAGTAGATCACAATTATGTAATTGTTTTTTCTGATTTGTGCCTTCTGCACTCTTTTAAATTTCCAATGGTCCTGGATTCTCCATTAGAATTGAGTGTTGTACGCCACTGAGTGTAAATTAAAATTGATTCTTTTATTATCATATCCAGTCAAACGTAATCATGTTCTATAAATGATTATTAGGAGGCCTCCTGTTAATTGTGTCAATATTATTTTTATTTATAGTACCCATCTCCTGGGGTTCCTCTTTATGATTTTATCAATATTTTTTTATATAGAAATCTTCTCTGGTACCTACACTATCAGGAAAGCACTAATATAATTACACCATCAGACATGCAATGCGTTGCAGCCTAACTCCCCTACCTTTACCCCATAACTCATCATAAGTTCAATGCCATAGAACAAGTAAGCCACACGGAGACACGGGAGTATAGATGAAGAAGAGAATAACAGAGGGAATTTGATCATACAAAGAGAACATAAGATGTTTCCAGTCATCGACTTTACCCTTTGATGAACAGTTTTTCAGTAACTTACACAACTATTCCTCTTTTTCAGCAAAAGGGAAAAGTCGATGACTTGGTATATGATCAAGAAATCCATATAGATGAGGAAGAATTGCGCCTCATCTTAGAGAATAGAGCTAAAACAAACAAAGCCAGTGATGATTCTTCCCTTGACCAAGATGAGAAGTATTTGAAAGAACAGAAAATGAAACAACAAAATGTTCAACATGAACACCATGCTCCATCAAGGGATGGTAATATAGACAGAAAAAAACAGGATGAACTATTTTTGGGAT